ATGAGATCAATCATACCCCACCACCCCCCTCCCCATATCCACGATCCCAGTCCCAATCCCATCCATCCCAACCCCAACCCTCACACACCTCCCCACAATCCCCCTCTCCGAAACCCCCAACTCCAACCTCTCCGGCAAAGCGACCTCAAACTCCCCATCTCCTTCTTGCATTTTCACCGGTAATCGGAAATAATGTAATGGGGGAGAGGTATTCTCCGCTGTAAGATCTCCGTATTTCCTAGACATCATTATATCATTAGTATCCCTTTCAACATATAGATAAATAAGAGAGTTAGTATAATAAACATACTCAATCCGCACATGCACTGCTGCACTCTCCTGGAAGGATCTGCGAGTGAGAGGGTCTGAGATGCGGAAGAGGGCTTTTGTTGTTGTTGTTGATGATGATGTATTCCATTCTGTCTGTGACCGTTGGTCTGAATCAGGGTGTGTTGTGTTTCTGAAGAAGAGGTTGTATGATGCATTCGACGTGGATGATGAGGAATCATTGGAGGATAATGATGATGATGATGATGATGAAGGCGAAGAGGGCGTCGATGATGCACTTGAAGATGCCGATGAAGAAGGAGAAGAAGAAGGGAAAATAACAGCGATGAGAGAGCCGGAGCTTGGACGGGAGGGACCGCACATTTTCAATGGCTGTTCTTTTTATGTTCTTTTGGTAAGTAGTTGTTGTTTGTTCACACTATATCGGGGGAAAGACTCTGTATAGTAATTTGAGGTATTGGTATGCGTGAGGAGAGAAGAGAAGAGATCAGAGAAAGAAGGATAAATGCTACAGGTTATTGAAGGCTGTAGGGGCTACAGCTGACTACTATGTCTATATTGCCCAGCCACCAAGGTACGTAAACACATACATAGCATGATATCGGCATGTTCCCCCAAGGTACCACTGAAAGCAAAGATGCTCAAATGTGCGCATCTCAGGGTGTGGGGCGCCACAGAACCATTTTGTATGGGGGTGGGGCGGTGGACCGCCTATCATCTTCTGAGGATCGACTGAATGGAACAAAGAATGGGAGGGAGTATGAGCGAGTTTGCGGGGGTTTCTTGTCTACGGTATATTTAGAACCGGGCAAAAACAGATCTGCAGAGTATTTAGGTGACTTGAGCTGTCCTCTATTGATACCAAAACCATCTCTAACAATGTCTACCATTTATGTACTAGTACTCACCCGTACTGGGTGTGCCTCGGTGTTGAACACAAATTGGTTCCCGCTGCCGGGCTGCACCTGCCAGGCTGCATCTTCCGCGAACGCCATGTACGAATACTTCATCACCTCGGCAAACAGGAAACTCTCCTGGTTGTCGTACCGGCTGCCGCCGTTGGCCGCGTTCACGTCAGTCAGACCTGAAAATCCAGAGTCGGTGCGGCAGTAGTCGTTGACTGCGCTGAATGCGCTCCAGATCCATTCCCGGTACTGATATGGTTGTTAGTTACTGTTGACCCAAAGGGGGAGAAGTCGAACTTACCGTTTCCTGCCCGGTAACTCTCCAGGCATAGTAGAAACTCTCAATCACTTCCGGGCGCAAAATGTACGCGCCACTAGTAATGTAGAATCCGGCTTTCTCGTAGAGCGACTGCTGGCTCGAGGGGATGTCGCTGGTATCCCAGCTGAACGACTCCGGGCCAATTCCCGTCAACGTCGAGTTGTATGTATCATGACACCCGCTCACTAGGTCCAGGCCGAAATTAATGAAGTCCGTCCGGTTCAGCACAGTGCCTCCCAACAGGAAGCTACCTCCGTCGAAGCAGGTCAGGTGCTGCGAGCTCAACCCCAAAGTTCCGTTGTTGTAGGAGGCCAGGAAGGTCAGGTCCGGGCGGGTCGAGGGGTGCGACGCCAGATGCTGCATGGTCGATTGCGCCGCGGCCACCCAGCGGTCTTTATAGAGACCGAACCGCTTGGGGTCGTATACGTACATTTTGATCAGGTACTCGTAGTAAGAGTCATCGCCGCCATTCCAGCTCACCTGCGCATCCGTGAACTGTCCATTACTGATGTTGATGTTGCTTCCTACCAAGCCCGGGAATGGCTCCGCAGACTTAGGCTGCGGGTTGAGGAGGTAAGACTCGGCCCTCTGGCTTAGGTCGGCATACGTGGTGTCACCCGTAAGGTCCGACAGGCGCGTCCATTCCAGCGCCAGTGTACCCGTCACGGCAAGACCATTGGTCTTGGCTCCATCATTCCCCCCTGAGGTAATGTTGAGATTGTTGTATGGAACCCCCGAGGGTGTATCGAAGGCGAATTTGAGAACGTCGCCGAGGTTCTTCGATTGGGTCAAGAGCACGTCGATTTTCGACGAGTCTTGCACCAGGTCGGACACGGGCCCCTTCAGCAGGTCATATCCGGACAGCATGCCACCCAGGTAGCGGATGGTGGTCTCGAAGAGGCTCACGGTGGTGTTTGTCTTGGAGTAGTCAATCTTGGCCACGTGGTCCAGGATCTGATTGACGATGGTAGCATTGCGCATAATCACTGCTGTAGAGAGTGCATCCACGGCAGAGGCGCCCCATCCATTCCGGGAGTCGCCATAGCCATTCGAGACGGGGTGCAGCTCGTCATGAGGGAAGGCGTATTGGAGGTAGCCATCCCAGGCGTGCGAGAAGGCAGCCTTGATGGCGTCTGCGCGCGATTGAGTGGTGTCGGAATTAGTGTGAAGCAAAGGCTGGGAAGAACCCAAGTGAGGATAAGCAGCAGAAGGACTGACGATGGCCAAGGCCGTCAGGGACAAGGAAAGCGAGCTGAGACGCATGGTTTGGCGAAATGAGTGACAACCGAGTGAGCAGACCCGAATAGAAAAACCAAGCTCGTCTTGCACAAACGACGGAAACAGGACGCAAGAATGAGAGCACGTCAAGGAGCGGACGGAATCGGGTATAAATAAGAAGATCTACCGGCTAAAGAATGCGGAGAAGCAGACGGGATCAGGCTGAGAAGGAGAGTTATGCTGCATCCAGTTTGGGGGAGACCCGCAGACTACTCGTTTAGTGCAGGATTGCATCGAGGACACACAGAACTGCTTTGCATACAATGACGGCACAGGGGAAGATGGAAGCGCCCTCCAGCACCCAACCTGGCCCTGGAGTTTCCCAAAGAGGCAAGGCAGCCAGCAGTCCCTGGTTCCTGGGCGGGATCAAGCCCCACTCCGCTAAGCTGCTTCAGGTCCACTCCCGCCGATCTGGGCCTCCGATTGGTGGCCAGCCATGCAAGGGTGGATTCCTCTGCTGGTCCCCGAGGGGTATTCCTGATGTGATCGGTACTTGTTCCTGGCTGGCCGTGCAGGTAGCCCAGCAGGTACTTCGCCCATACTTCATACCCATCAGATACCTCAGAGTGGGCGCTTAATTTAACTTGAGACTTGGCGAGGTGCCACAGTCACATCGCGATGGCCAGTACGGAGTACTATTTAGTCGATCATTCGGGCAGGTCAGTCCGCACAGCAGATGATGAGGATGGGCAGATGATCGTCTGGATATCCGAAGACCTCAGACCCAACTAGTGGAAAGTAGGTTTGAATCGGAAAAGCCTTAAGGTGATCGCTTGAATTAAGGGTCAGTAGCTCTGGGTCGTTCTCGATATGGTTAGATCGAGCCATACAGTATTTTGGTACTTGTCTCACACGAGCTGCATCAGATGCTTGCCTTGACAAGGTGTGCCTGGGGTTGGTCGTGAGCTCACAACCCCGAATACCTGGCTATATCCCCGCTTTCAGGTGTCAGGACCCTTCAAGATCAGGGTGTCCTCGGTTGTGTGGTTAGAGTTTACTACCTCAGGTCACCAGTCTACCTGCAGAAACATGGCATGTGCTTTGATGGTTGCAAGTGATTCACATGGACATTAACAACAGCATCTAGAATATGAGCCCTGCAGGATAGGTTGGGTCACCAGTTTCATCAAAATTTTTCTTGCTTGCTTGCATTTTGAAAGAATGAAATTCGTTCTCTCCCTGGAAAGGGATCAGTGAAGGGACCTTCACCCTTGGCCACTTCCCAGCAGGAGCTACGGCACTGCCTCAGAAGTTTCACCCAAAGTATACTTATCATACGTTGACTGAAGACATTAGCTTGCGCCTGGCTTCTCTTGATATAAGACCAGGAGAGACTGTGGTACTTGTTGATCATCAATGCTGTCTATACTATTGTCGCCAGGAGTATATCCGCGTACGGTGTGGCTATCAACACACGCTTCGCTGCCATGGAGAGTGACGGCCTAGACAATTGTCACACTGTCTTGCTGGACGGCTAAACAGTCAATATATGAGTATTGATGTTGGCTCTGGTGGCTGATTGTACCTCTCTTCATCCGAGAGTTATTGATCGACCTGCGGGATCTGCTCGAATTGAAGCGATGCACTGCAAAGAGGCACTGGAGTAGACTATTGGAATAGACTGTCAGATTATGATCAAGACAGTCTGCTTGCCCTGTGGTGAGTGTAGTTGAATTGTGGACATCTAGGAATCATCAATAGTGCGCCCGATCGGCACTGGGCCGACCGAATGCGGGATGAAGTGCCGTAAGTTATGCCAACATGTGGAGGTGACAGCACGATCGGAGGATAATTGCCCATTCCTTTGAAGCTGCATAGTATTTCCTCCGAGATCAATCGGCCCGTAGTTACCGGACTATTTTATGTATACTACTAACTATGAGGAATGACTCGAACCAACACCCTGGATTGAATCTGGTGGTGGAAATTGTCGGGATGTGCCAACCCCGCCAACAGGATCAGTAGGAATCTCTCCCACTTTCACTGCGGAAGGATTAAAGCAACAAGCTTCAGGAACATGGCCAGAAGCGACTACTGCCCAACGGAATCAACTCTGTGCGACCGTCAGCCATGGATGAAGGCATCCCAACGCTGTCAATCCAATCAACGACAGTGAATTTGTGGCGGGCGGTGAAGCCCTCTCCGATGGCGGGGCAAAGAACAGGAAGAAAATTGCAGGCGGAATCTTTCTTTATCTTCGCCCCGATCCGCCCCGGACGGACTGACTCACTTTCTCTCGCTCGTCTCTCGCGTCTTTCACCCCAGTGTCCAACTGTTGTCTTTTCTCCCCATCTTGGGGATCTTAATTCTGATTCTCTCCCCCTAAATCTCCCCCCTAGACAATTGCCCTCCAGTCATCCATCATGGCCACCCCCCTCCTCGTCTCGTACGACCCCGCTTCCCCCTCCTCCGGCCTTTCCCTCAAGCAGATCGCCTACTTCGGCCGCGTCCTCGTCAAGGTTTCCAGCCTTGCTCAAGCCGAGGATTTCCTCAAGCGCAACTTCCGCCTCCTTGATGTCTATGTTGACGCTACTGCCATTACCTCCACTGGAGACCTCGTCGATATCCTCAATGCCGGCGCTGCCAAGATCTTCATCTCCCTTACCCAATTGACGGCTCTGTCCCAAGAACAGTCCGTCCCGTCATCACGTCTCGTTGTCTATGCCGCCGAGAGCCAGGTGGATGCTTTCAAGACCTGGGTTGGCGAGTCCACCGAACACAAGGATGCTGGCTTGTCGACCGACTCGTCTGCCGTCAAGGCCATCGCTGAGAAGCTTGGCATGAACTTGGAAGCCCAGAACTTGTACCGCACATACACTAGCACCCCCACGGAGGAGACGCTTAAGGACACCCTGGCCCAAGGTGGTGTCAGCGTTGTGTCTGCCGATGCATTGACCTTTGAGCACAAGGAACCCAACGGCAAGATCGTCGCCGCCTCTCTTATCGCCGCTCGTGCTGTCGCAGACCAGAGCAACGGTCTCTACGCCACCACAGTGACTGATGAGCGTGGAACATGTCTGGGACTGGTGTGGAGCAACGACGAGAGCATTGCCGAGGCCCTCCGTACTGGCACCGGTGTGTACCAGAGCCGGAAGCGTGGTCTTTGGTACAAGGGTCAGTCGAGCGGAGACGTGCAGGAGCTGATCCGCGTCGGCTTTGACTGCGACAGCGATTGCTTGGTCTTTGTTGTTAACCAGATCGGCAGAGGTAAGTCTATACCAATCCAATTCGCCAACAATCACTAACCTCCAAAAGGTTTCTGTCACCTTGGAACCGCCAGCTGCTTCGGCCCCTACAACGGTCTCGCCCGTCTTCAGAAGACCCTGCAAGCCCGCAAGGCCGATGCGCCCGCCGGATCCTACACTGCCCGCCTTTTCAACGAACCCAAGCTTACCCAGGCCAAGATCATGGAGGAGGCTGATGAGCTGTGCCGCGCCAACACCAAGGAAGAGATTGCCTTTGAGGCTGCGGATCTGCTCTACTTCGCTCTGACTCGCTGCGTTGCGGCCGGTGTCAGTCTCGAGGATGTGGAGAGAAACCTGGATCTCAAGAGTCTGAAGGTGAAGAGAAGAAAGGGCGATGCCAAGGGCCCCTGGGCCGAGAAGGCTGGCCTGGCCGAATCGAAGCCCGCTGCAGAGCCCGCTAAGCCTGCCGAGCCCGCTCCCAAGGTCGACGAGCCCATGCAGATGACCCGTGTTGTTACCGCTTCGACCCCCGAAAATGTCGTCCAGGACTACCTCAAGCGTCCCTCTCAGAAGTCCAACGATGCTATCGTCGCTCTCGTTCGCCCCATCATCGACGACGTCCGCAAGAACGGTGACGCCGGCGTGCTCAAGTACACCCACAAGTTCGAAAAGGCCACTTCTTTGACCTCTCCGGTGCTCAGCGCTCCCTTCCCGCCTGAGCTGATGAAGCTGTCCCCCGAGACGCAAGAGGCCATTGATATCAGTATCTCCAACATTGCCAAGTTCCACAGCGCCCAGAAGGACAGCAACGAGGGCTTGAAGGTGGAGACCATGCCGGGCGTGGTCTGCTCTCGTTTCTCTCGCCCCATTGAGCGCGTCGGTCTCTACATCCCCGGTGGTACTGCCGTTCTGCCGTCGACTGCCATGATGCTGGGTGTTCCCGCCATGGTGGCTGGCTGCAAGAAGCTTGTCTTCGCTTCTCCTCCTCGCGCGGATGGCAGCATCTCGCCTGAGATTGTCTATGTTGCGCACAAGGTCGGCGCTGAAAGCATCGTGCTTGCCGGTGGTGCTCAGGCAGTCGCTGCTATGGCGTACGGCACGGAGAGCGTCAGCAAGGTGGACAAGATCCTGGGTCCTGGCAACCAGTTCGTCACTGCCGCCAAGATGTTGGTCGCCAACGACACCTCCGCCGGTGTCAGCATTGACATGCCCGCTGGACCCAGTGAAGTGCTGGTGATTGCGGACAAGGACGCCAACCCTGCGTTCGTTGCTTCTGATTTGCTGAGTCAGGCCGAGCACGGCGTGGACTCGCAGGTCATTCTCATTGCCATTGACTTGAACGAGGAGCAGCTTCAGGCCATCGAGAAGGAGGTTGACGTCCAGGCCAAGGCTCTGCCCCGTGTGGACATCGTCAAGGGCTCTCTGGCGCACTCGGTCACTTTCGTTGTGCGCGATCTCGAGGAGGCCATGGCTCTCAGCAACGACTACGCTCCGGAGCACTTGATCCTGCAGATCCAGAACGCCGAGGTGGCAGTTGAGCAGGTGCAGAACGCGGGTAGTGTGTTCATCGGCCAGTGGACCCCGGAGAGTGTGGGCGATTACTCTGCCGGTGTCAACCACTCTTTGCGTAAGTCTTCCCAAATCTTCCCAACCCAAAATCGTGAATCAGGCTAACAGTCACAGCAACCTACGGATACGCCAAGCAGTACTCCGGAGTGAACCTGGGATCCTTCCTCAAGCACATCACCAGCTCGAACCTCACGGCAGACGGTCTGCTAGGCCTGTCTCGCACGGTGGAGCAGCTGGCAGCAGTGGAGGGACTGGATGCGCACAAGCGGGCCGTGAGCATCCGCGTGGCACACATGAAGAAGCAGCAGGCATGATTTGTATCAGCGGTTTACGATTCGACGCATGTAATATGAGCATAGCAATAAAAGGTCTTGATGATCACTGTACATTAATGGTATCTCGAACGCCTCTAGTAGACACTGAACTTTTCCCACCACCGATGCAACGCAGAATCATAATCATGCCGATAGCAGGTAGACAATAAACAAACCAAACGAAGGAGGAATAAATCACTTCTTCCGCTCACGGATCTTCCACTTGACACCATTCTTATTCGTGCCACCCACCACATTATCCATCCGACCACGCTGCCAATCCAGCTCGCGCTCCGCGGCCGTGATCTCCTTGTACTGCTTCTGCAGCGCCTTGAGCTTGTTCATCCGCGCCTCTGCCGCACGCTTCTTCATTTTGCGAGCCCGACGAGCCTCCACAAGCGCCTGTCTCTCCGCCTCCAACTGCTTCCTCGACTTTTTCATCACCTGCTTTCCGAACGAATCATCCTCTTCCTCATCATCATCCTCATCTTCTTCTTCCTCACGTAACTTCTTCTTCTTCAACACCCTCTGCTCCTTCCGATCATCCGCAAACACCAATTTCCTGCTCTTCTTATTCTTCTTCTGATCCACCTCATCATCCCCGAAATCGAAATCAAAGTCCATATCATCGTCATCCATCACGTCCTCCTCTTTCTTCTTATCTTCCCCAGCATCCCCATCTAAAATCTCCTTCATCCCATCCTGCAACCGCACCTCCTCCTCCAACTTCTCCATCTGTCGTCGGATCCGCTCCCCAACTGTCCGCAAGTACCCCGCATCCTGTGTCTTGAGCAACTTGATGGCGTCGTGGCTGAGACCGCGCGCGGCAGCCGAGTCGCGGTTTCCCGCAGCGCCGTGTTTGCCTTGTCGAGCGGACGAACTCGACATCATTCCGAAGGCGAATTCATCGGGGTTGCGGTCGCGGACTTTTTCTTGGAGGCGCTTAATTTTCTCTTTCTTCGTGTTGTAGTCTTTCGCGCGGAGGGAGTAATCCTAAGATTTTATTTCTATTAGTACTGCAGGATACTTCGACAATGGGGGGCTATGGCAAGGAAGTGAAGGTATGTATGTACCTTGTGCTTTTCGAGAATACCCCATTTCTCACGGCCTTCGAGCTGACCACGCTCGCGGTGGTTGCGCCGCTGAACGGCGTTGCGCATGGAGGACATGACGGATACCGTTTTCCTCCTTGGGAGTATAGTTCGTGGAAGGAGTGAGTGCTTGGTTGATTGTTAGTGGAGGATAGGATAGATAGAAAGTAATGAAAAGTCGGAGTCGGAGGACACTAAACCCAAACGGGTAGTTGCCGACCAACCCGTCCGACTTCTTCTCCGCTGGATTCTATTCTAGCTGTGCTAGACACGCATGATCATTGGTGTTGATTTCTGACATCTTTTGAAGGCAATTAATGCAATTGGTGTATATGTTGGTGATGAATTGATACCCTGTCAGATCTCTGAATTGATACCACGACAACGACAATTCCTCGCATACGAACACTACGCTACACCACACCACTACATCTCATATACACGACACATCGACACCACCTCTACCTCTAGTTCTCCTCTCCAAAGACATACATACGCCACACGAACAGTCACCAATCCTTCAGAATCAACCTCCAAAATGTCCTCCACAACCCCTCAGACCGACTCTACCACACCCAAACCAAAATACAACCTCCGCAACCCCCTCCCCCTCTCCGCCGCCCAAGAAGCAGAAGTAAAGCAACTCTACTACAAGCGCGTGCGATCTCTCTGTGCGCCTGAAATCAAGGGTACGCCTCTCCTAGATTCTAATTCCAGTTTCTTCACCTCCATTCAAAGAGAATGCTTGGCAATGCAGCTAACTCTGGGGCCTTTGTAGCATTCGCCGAATGCGCCGTCAACCGCACAATAACAGCAACATGGGTATGTCGGGAACAACGACTGGCGATGAACGCGTGCATGGTGGCGCATGCGAAGCCGGAGGAAGAGGACCGGGCGAGAGAGGAGTGGTTTGCGACGCATGAGGAGCGGAGGAAAGCCAAAGAGGAGGAGCTTGCGAAGGTGGAGAAGAGGAGGGAGGAGGTGATTCGCATGATGAGGGAGGACCAAGCGAGGCAGGCTGCTGCTGCTGAGAAGAAATAGAGGGAGTTGGGTGGGTGTATGATGTGTTGTGTATGATGTGTTGGGGGTGGGGTTGTGTGTGGTGTGTGGGTTGGCGTATATAGGTATCCTCCTCTTTTTTTACCTCTTGTCTTACTGCTGGTTCCGGCGTTCTGTTTGGCATTTACAGATATGGTGTGTATTCATTGTTACTTGTATAGTAAGTAGTAGCTGGTGGTGATGTGTTGGATGGAGCATCGATAGATGGATGGATGATATGGAAAAGGAAAAGGAAAAGGAAAAGAAAGAAAGAATAGATGAATGAATCTCCCGTCCTCCTGTCCATGTACTAAGTAGGTAGTTGTAGTAGTGACTAGTTATCCTGCGCCCTAACGCCTCTATGCAGATACACTCTTCCTCTTCCAACTCTCCACTGGTATCTAGACATCCGTCATATCCTTATCCCCATCCCCATCCCCTCCATCCCCATCACCCTCCCCCATCGCCGTATCCTCCCCAAACACATCCTCCATCTTCCCATCCTCCTCCTCCTCATCCGCGCCCTCCTCACCCTCTTCGACCTTCGTCCCACCACCAGCACCAGCACCCATCCCATTCTCCCTCCCAGCACCACCAGCAGTATCATCCCCCTCGACCTCCTCCTCCCCCTCACTTTCCCACTCCTCCTTCATATTCCACCCAGTACCCGTCAAACAGAACCTCTCCGGCGGCAACCTCATCCCACCCATAACAATACTCTGATTTGCGGCCGCCGTCTTCGCCATCCCCTGACTATCAAACCCGCGACTAGCCCCGGGCAGCGCCACGCGATTCCTCTCCGCGGCCACATCCATCAGGAACTCCTTCGGCAAGCCTGCCTGGAACTGATAGTGCAGTCGGGACGCAATAGCCAGCCGCAGCGCCGGTAACGACACAGTATTGATTTCGGACGCGCCGGCGCGGGATCCCCCACCCGTCGAAGACTCAGGACCACCGGCGTAGCCTTCTGTCGCGAGGTGCACTGCGTCCTGCAGCACTGAGGACGTGTAGCGGTAGGCGAAGTCGAGGAGTTGGAGTGGAACGCGCTCTTGGTACGCTGTTACCCCCAACGAGGAGAGGAGCATGTGGATGAGGCGGACATCGCGCGGACGCCGCGATTTGCCGCTGTCTTTGAGGGAGGTGGAGGGGATCTGGGTCGGTTGGGTGCTGGCGGCGGGTGCGGTGGTGGTGGTGCTGGGGTTGTTGGTTGTGGTTGTGGTTGGTGGTGCGGCGGGGGCGGTAGTAGCGGTGGTGTTTTGGGATGCGGTGGGTTGGGTGCTTGAGGGTTCGGCGGGGGGTGTGATGGGTTGGGTGGTGGGAGGTTGCGCGTGATTTGGTGAGGCCATTCTGAATAGTATTGAGGTGGTGATAGAGTGAGGTAGTAGTCGTTGACGGGATAGTAGGTGTAGCGACGCGCTTGGGAGGCTGGTCAATTGGTGGGCGCTGGCATCGCCTGCTGATCAGGATGGATTTCGAAGTATCCGACGCAGGTGTAGATCAGTCGATGCACGAGTGTAGATGGATGCTGGGGTTGATGAAGCTGGAGATGAAATGCCGATGAAGGCAAAGCGAGAGTCGGTCGGCCAGGCAAGTCCGCGCTAGACCGCCTTCGGCAGGCGATTGATTCCCAGCATTTGGGACCTTCAAGGTACGCGATGTTGCAGCAGAAGCATCAACCAAAAATTAAGAAAGAAAAAGGGTAATTGTAGTGATGCAACAATTCTATACTGTGCAACTCAGCGTCTCAACTATCATACATTATGTGCCACCCAACAAAAGTAACAATATGGCTATGCGACCGGTGCAAACGCCCATCATGCAAATCTATAACACAAACACCTCATCCATGCAATAAATGTCAAGTCCCTGGCCTGTGAGTTGGCCGCCGTAATGCAGTTGATGCATCTTTGCTGCCCTCAACGTTTGGGAGAGCCAGGGTTGGATTGGCTTGGACGAGGAGGATCCAACTCCTCTTCCGAGGCGACCTCATCTTCGTCCTCGATGTCTTCATCGGCAGCATGGAGATTGAGACTGTCCATCAGTTCAGATCCATCGACCGAGTCCTGCGAGATGTAGCTCGCCCCGAGCTCTTCTCCAGCCTCATCCTCATCGACATCACTTGCTTCCTCGTCACTCAGCTCCCCGTCGTACTCCTCGTCTTCCTCCTCCTCATCTTCGTCCTCCTCTTGGTCACCTTCTTCTGCTTCGCTGTCTGTGCAGGAAAAGTCCTCCAGATCCGGAGGAGGCTCTCTCCAATAGGTGAAGTCGGTGTATTCTTCGCCACCAGCCTGGACCAGTAGACTCACCGGCGGGAAGAAATGGTCCAGCAGCTCCGTCATCGAAACGTAACTGCTCTTGTACTTGTTTAGGCTAAGAAGGTCCAGGACGACCTCGGCGTTCGAATTGATCGTGAAGATCCTGGTGGACGGGATGTTCACCGACCGGTAACTCAGCGCATCGGTGAGACGGTTGCCGAACCCGGCGTAGAAGGGATTCTCTTTCCCATTGAACAAATTCAAGATATCCCGTAGACATGCCATCTTGAACACCTCAGGCTTCCTCAGGTAGATTTCTCGTCGGAGTGCTGCCATGGTTCGATCAGGACTCATGATGACCGGCCCCTTGGGCAGTCGCCAGCCGTCCTGATTAACTCCGTACAAGTAAGCCCGCGTCGTATCTGCCTGGCCAACGGATCGACTTGTAAGGTACATGATGTTATACCCGTTGTTGACAATGTCAGTATACAATTTGGCTACTCCAGCATGAGTCCAGTCACGCCCAATCATGTTTAACACATGGCCAAGAGCATCAGACCTACAATCCATTAGCGACTTCCGACGTCCCAGATCAAGAACACTTACTTGGTGATGGTTCCGTCAATATCGGAGATTACAATAGGAATATTTCCATTCCATAGATACATCGTCGCCGTGCAAGTAGCCCGGTTGACGCTGAACGACATGCTGTTCGCACCAGGCTTCAAGTTCAGGGCCTTCAGCTGATTACTCGTGAGACGGAGGGTCTTTGCATAGTTTCGAGTTGGCTCTTGGGCTTCTGGCGTTGGTGACTGCGGTGGGGTAGGAAAGCCGGGTTGGACATCAGACTGGGTGCGGTAGTGCCGGCTGGGTAGCGGCTTGTCCTGCAAAGACTTGTCACTGTCGCTGTGGTACCCCGGGTCGGAGATGGCATGCTCGCTCATGGCGGAGCCCGGTCGCATCGCATTGAACGTAGCTCGGCGATTGGCAGCCTCCTTTGCTTCCTCGCTACTGTAGATCCACAGGTTCCCATGTTCGTCGGCCCCGATGAGAGCCCCGATGTCATAGGGGCCCTCCAACTCCTCGGCAAGGATCTTCCGTGCAAGAACTTCCGCTCGCAGAGCATCCTCTTCGCTGCTCTTGTAACCAGTCATGTCGAGCATGAGGTCTCCCGTTTCGGTAACGTGAGACGGAATATTCGATCCGGAGAGTTTTTTCGAAAGCGAGACGGCGCGAGACATCGCCTCTTCGGGAGTTAATGGCGGAGGGCTTCTCGAACGACCATCCTGGCCCATATCATCGCTCGCGGCGCTGGCGCCAGAGGACTGCATTCCGTATACTTGGTCCGCTACGCTAACACTGTTGGAGCGGCTCTTGGTCAACAACACTGTATCCGTAGCCGTCCGGTCAATTTTGCTGGGTGCATCGCCGAACGAGCCATGCCGGGACCTGCCCAAGCTGGAGTCATCCGGCGACCGTGAAAGAGGAGTAAGGGTACCTGTCGCAGATGAATGTCAATAACTCGATAAGTGTAGGTCTGCATTAGAACCCACCTAAATCGCTCGATGCCCGCATACTCCGCGACAGCACAGGAAGGGCTGTTGAGGATTTCCCATCCAAATTGCCATTAGATGATCGATCGAGGTCCAGGTAATCGGGTTCCTGGAGCGATGGAGGAAGATTCTCCTCACTGCGCATCTTGGGACTGCTGCTTGGAGAAACCAGGGGCGAAGTCTGCAGCGAGGCGGGGATCTCGTCTGTTGTCTCAAAGACAAAGAAAGCCTCCCCACCTTCACCCAGCTTCATCGCATAGTCTTGCTTTACACCATTTACGGAAAATTCCACCTTAAAGGCGCCTTTAGTTATGTGGGGTCGCTGTCAGGATCGATGCGGGAGACGGTACCTTCTTCTCGTACGGGCGGAGCAAGGAGAATTTGCCGAATCGAACGTGGAAAGGTGAACAAGCCAGAGTTCCTATACCGGATATTAGTCCTTCTTTTGACGATAAATTGAAAGAAGCAGACCACGAACCATCCTCTTGTTCAATCACAATCACATCGATTGCCCCGCTCAAGGTGGCTGGATTGATGGAGTTCCACGTCTTGGAGACGGAACCGCTGATACTTCGGACGTACTGCATCCTGCGAGAGTAACAGGGAAAGTCCCTGGAGAATATTGTAACAATTCCCAAGCGACAAAGGCGAAGCACAAAACAAAGAACACAGCAGATAGAGAGGGGGGTCGGAGGTCAGACGGCGGAGGTGCAGGAATTGCCGCCTACATACGGCCCATGTGACAATGCCCGATAGACATGCGCCGGAGTGGAATCACTAACGAGAGACGGTCACTTGCAAAGCGAATGAGCTGGCATGCAAGCATTTGACCACGATCGAAAACAAGCGAGTGGAACCTGCAGCACCAGCAGGGCGTACAGACAACAAAGTGAGACAGATAGGACAGCGAAATGGGAGAAGAGCAGCAAATGGCGATTCTATTATTGTTGGGACCTGCGAGAAGGCTCAACAGCCCAACCGCTCGTCTGTCTCTCCCCGGCCGGGCGGTCCGTCATGTGCTCCAGGCTGCCTCTTCCCTGCCTTCCTCGGCTTGGAGCGGGCACTAGGCCGCTTCCGGCTGGCGCAGGCTATTTTTTGAGAAATCTCCCAATGTAGTTTAGTCCAGAGCATCCCATGATCTGCACCAGTTGACTCAGGGCTGAGTCAGCGTAGGTGTCCCAGTCAGGTGACTCTGTCCCACTCTCTCGCTCGGCAGCCTCCGCGGAGCATCGCATTAATTCCTCCTCGACTCTCACGGATTAAACTATCTAGTGAATCGTCTGCTTGCTGACCCTTCACTGCCCTCGACGAGGTTGCCAGTCCCCTCCCTCCTTTCTCCCTCTCCATGGGTTTCGGACGCTGGGATGTATGAGCCGTTGTTTCTCTCCTTCGACGCCTACCCCAGCGTAGTTCCCCGAGTGAGGGTGCGAGGCGTCATGGCTCTCTTCCTGGCAGTCACCATTCTCTGGGCTCTAATCTGGTAGGTCGCAAGATCTCAGTTAGTGTATAGAGAGCGCACAGCTAAATTAAACTTTTTCTCAAAGGCTGCTGTACCGTGCGTGGCAGGTTTGCCAGACCCCGAACGACGTCCTAGTTGAAAAGCTCGGTCTGGATATTCCTCCGCCACCAGAAGTCACCCTCGAAGAGATCACCGCCCGTGAAATTCGCATCGCTTGGAAACAACCCGAATTTCACAATTCCATCCACAAGCACATCATCCAACTGAACGGCATCAAGGGTACCCTCGGCAATGGCTCCCTCGAATCTCTTTCTGTTGATACTAATGAGTTGTCAGTGGGCGAATCGAAACGAGCGGAAACTGCAGTCGAAATCCTGAACTTGGTTCCCGGAAGTATCTATCATATTTGCGTTCTTTCAGTTAGTGCCGCAAACTTCCAAACCCCAAGTGCAATCATCCATGTGCGCACAAAGTCTCTGCCCTTGTCGCAAACCCAACAGAATGCTACGGTCGGCAACCCTACCATTCGGGCGTCCATCCCCCGGTCTACCGCTGGTCTTGCTGCTCCCTCGGCCCCCGTGATGTCTCGGGAGCACAGCGGCGGACAGCTCCAAGCAAAGCGATCTTCAGCCGGCCGGAAGCCGTCTCCTGCAGCGAGCGGGACGGAGGTCTCGCATGGCCATGCGGAGGAGACACAGAAGAGCGCCACGAATGACGATCATGACGAGACCCTTGAACAACTCGCCGACCGATTGAAATCCCTGCAGCACGAGAACGAGACCGTCGAGAAGCAAACCACCGATGAAGAAGAGGAGCACATTGCTCTTCTGAAGGAACTCGAGAAACAGCGTGACGACTTGAAAAAGCGGGTCAAGGAAAAGGATGAAGCGAGTGGCGACCTGAAGAAGCACGTTTACAAGCTGGAAAGTGTGAATCGTACAGTGCAGAGTGAGAAGGCGAAGCGTGAAAGACTCCTGCAACAGAAGGAGTCTGAACGTAAGAAGCGCAAGTCCGACATCGTCCGGTGGCAGGAGCGTGTTGAAAACATGAACCGTGAAGCAGCGGAATCGAGAGAGGAAAAGACACGGCTGGAAGAAGAGGGGAAGCAGCGTGGAGATGAGATTCGGGAGAAGATTGCCAAGGAACAGGCAGAGATGAAGGTCATCGATGACGAAATCCAAGACAAGGGCGGGCGTGTCAAGAAGCTCGAGGAGGAGAGGCAAAACCACCAGGAAGCAGATAGCGAGGATGGAAAGGAGTTGGATCGCATTGACAATGAGCGAGCCCGGCAGTGGGAGATCAAATTGAGCAATCTTCACGCTCGCTATGCTACCCTCGTCAACCTTCACACCCAGGTTAGTATTCTTGCAATGGCCTGCTTTCCGGGATAGTCTCTAATTCATTCTACAGGCTCAGCAGCAGTACCAGGAAGCGCAGGAGCGCCTGAAGTGGCTAACCACCCAACGTACCGGCAGCACAGGTCCCTTTTCTCTCCCAGCTCTCGATCTTGATCTCTCCAACACTGCGACTATCCGCCCACGTCGACACCGCAGCTCACTCGCCAGTAATGTCTCATCTCCGATGAATTTCACGGCCTTAGAGCCATCATTTCCCGGCGGCATTAGCTACAACCCTCCTGCCACTGGGTCTCCCACCTTTGGCCCGACTTCTGCCTTCTTCAACATCAACAATGGAATGACCCTCCCGAGCCTTTCGGGCCAGTCTGATAGTACGCGAGGATACTCGGATATGTCGCTTGGAAACCCTCAGATGAGCCCTCGTGCCGACGCACTTCTCCCGTCCGATCTTCTCGGGGATGAGGAGTCTCCCGAACTCCCTCGTCCGGCCATCCGTTCTCGCTTTTCCAACCTCGAGCAGCCAAGCACTGCGCTAGAGTTTCCCCATGGGCCACCTTCACCAGACTCTACCGGAAGCAGGCCGGAAAGCCTCTTTGCGAGTCCGGAGGACCAGACCCTGCCTAAAGATGTTGAATCGCAACCAGTGAACTTGGATGTAGGCGAGGCACCGAAGAGTGCGTCGCGCAGGCTTTCGGGGCTCTTTGGCTTCCACCGACCTCGCGGCAAGACACTGGCAGATGAGCCACCTCTACTGGGCAGTTTGAAACCAGGACAAAGTCAGTCGTTCCCCCGTAATCTGGAGGAGATGGATCCCATAGGGGCTAGACGGCGTCGGCTGAGCTATACAGGCAACTGGGCGAACCCGATGTCTCTGTTCCCCAGGAGCAACACAGCAGGTGTTACAACAGACAGCTCCTCCGACCATCTTCCCTCGCGTCGTGCGGGCATTTCCAGCATTTTCTCATCCAGCCGATTTGGATTTGGCGGCGGACACGGTCTGCTCAAGTCCAGTGAAAATTCCGATCAAAGCACAGGATACAATCAGTTCAGTCCTCGTCATGATCCAATTGATCCTTCCTCCATCTTGGGCACAGTACGCCGGGAGTCGTTGTCGCCGCGGCCCTCATCGACCTTCTCTTTCGAAAACCAGCTTCCTCATCCCTCCACCGATAATCGTCACTTTGGTTGGCCATCAGCAGAAAAGCAAGGCCATCGGAGTCCTTTGGGGTTTGACTGGACCTCCCCGTCGACTTGGTCCCGGGTGCAGTCGCGCCGGCCATCTACACAGTACGGCTCATCGGGTCACTTACCTTTAGGCCTTACCGGAGAACCAGACTTTCTTCAGGATTCGTTCGAGAGACAAGGTCGGCCATTGCAGGCGCCTATTGGAACGCGACCATCATCTTCTCACCGACCAGTCACCCCGAAGTTGAATCCTGCAGCGCCTTCCTTCAGGACCATCTTTGGGAAGCGATCGGATAAGAGCAAAGAGAAAGAGGCAGCGAGGGACCGAGAGCTAGATGCTCCATTTGACTTTCACATGGAGGAAGGCTCTCCGTCTGAATCGCGTACCTCGCGGGATTCTCGCTCTCTTTCTATGTACACAGGCGACTCATACGAATCCTTGGAACGTATGCCCTCCGCAGGCTCGCTGGATAATGGAAGCTCGAAAGAGTCATTCATTCGCAAAATCACCCGAAAGGGCAGTTCCAGCAAGTTCAGTTCCTGGAAGGACCGATCAGGGCTCTTCTCCAAGAAGGGTGACCCTTCGCAAGGCGACATTGACGAAGACGCACACAGCGAGGCGATGCTTGCCAAGAGTGTGGACAGCACTGTGTCCAGCGCTCCTTCGGCTGACCGGTCAACTCGAAGCAGCCTGGGATTCTTCAGTCGCATGTCCAGGAAGTCCGACAAGGCCGCCAGTGAGACGAGCGAGCGCCCCAGTGAGCATGTTAGCGAGGCTGAGGATGAAGAGGCAGCGGAGGAGGTCCAAGCATGAACATACAGCATTCATTCTTTATTTTTCATTTCTTTAGGTCGCCCTGTGGCGTTAGGCATTCTTTCAATCTCTTAACTAGTGACGGTAGAAGTCATTGTGTGGCACATAGCATGCCTTTCTTATCCTCTTGATATGATTCTCTCTTCCGTATATCTGCCATTGGCTGTAGTAATTGAATAGGCGAAAGCTCTAGTTGAAAGTATATCACATCGGAGAAGTTTCCACCCAACCAGGAATGCTGAGAGCAGGTGGTGCAGAGCAGCGCAACGCTGGCAGTGGAGGGACGGTTCGGTTCGTCCCTCATCCCCACCCAAATCTTCATGATTCATCCTTCCTCGCCAGCCCGACGGCTTTTCCTGCACAACAATCATCGGCAGTTTGAATACTGCAGTCTAAAGCAAGATGGCAAATTCCAAGTATCTTCCCTACCTCTTTAATATTCTTTGAGAGCCGCTGCTAACCTCCACAGATATGAATACGTCAAATCATTCGAGCAACCGGACGCTCTACTCCCCAATACATGGATTGTGGTCCGGATCGATGGCAGAGGCTTCCACAAGTCAGTGCCACCTCTCTTTCAAAGCTCCAACATGACGCTGCGCTTCTGATCAACTGCTATTAGCAGCTGAGATAACATCTAATTTCATCAGCTGGCTGTCTACATGTTGCTAACTGAAAGAATGTAGACTCTCTGATCACTACGGCTTCATAAAGCCCAACGACCGCCGGGCCCTAGACCTAATGAATGCTGCAGCAGTCGGCGTCATGAAAGACCTACCTGATCTTTGCATCGCCTACGGTATTAGCGATGAGTACAGGTACGTGATGCGGCATGCTCCTGGTCAAATGTGGCGATATTGACTTGACATTAGTTTTGCTTTCCATCCCAACTGCCAATTGTTCGAGCGGCGGAGTGCGTAAGTCATCTCTTTTTTTTTTCGCGCAATATTCCATGTCCAGTAGCAGTATGAACTTACTTGCCTTGGGGATGCAGCAAGTTAGTAACGACTATTGTGTCAACATTCACGGCACATTATATCTATCTGTGGGGAACGTATTTCCCAGATACGCCGCTCCAGCCAGCGGCTCTGCCTTCGTTTGATGGAAGAGCAGTGATGTATCCGAACTCTAGGATATTTAGGGATTATATGAGCTGGCGGCAGGTGGATTGTGAGTTTTGTTCCATTCGCAGCATAAATGGTCCTTCGGGTTGGTGTGTGCTAATATGCTACAGGTCATATTAACAATCTTTACAATACAACATTCTGGACCATGGTCCTGCAAGGTGGGATGGATAGAAGAGAAGCTGAACTGGAATTGAAGGTGAGTTTCTGGTTTTGAGAGATGCTGCTGCTGCTAACAGTGTGAACTAGGGCACCCTGTCTTCTGACAAGAATGAGATCCTCTTCAAGAGGTTCGGTATCAACTATAATAATGAAGAAGAGATCTATAAGAAGGGCAGCGTCATCTATCGCCAGGTATGTGTGTCTCCGCTGCCTCGTATGTGTGGCTACTGACCAAGATACAGTATCAACTAGAGGATGTGAAAGCCAAACCGGACTCCAGCGTGCAGGAAGAAACATCACCATTGCAGGAGGACACACCCTCCAAGACACAGCAGGAAAAGATCCGCAAACTGCGTCGCAAAGTGCAGGTCGTGGTCGATCATGTCGACATCATCAAGGATGAGTTCTGGGAGAGACGGCCTTGGATTCTCTCTGGCAAGCCCGGAAAGCTGCCTACAGAGGCTAAGCAAGTAGCATGATGATAATATGATGATAAACAAAGAATAATGAATGATGCAAATATTGTTCGTGAGAATATACAACCAAGTAGCACAGCCATGGGTATCTTTAAGTCGAATCTATCTATATACTGCCAAAGAGCATCTCTTATTCCGTTCGTTCACGTTCACTTCGAGGACACCGTCTCATCCTTGGACTTTTTCGACTTCTTTTTCTTTGACCCGTCATCAGACGTAGAAATCTCTCGCTTCGTTTTCTTCTCCTTCTTGTCCTTCTTCACCTTCTCCACCGACTCATCCCTTCCGCTTGACTCCGTCTGTTCCACCTCCGTCTCTGGCGGCGTGGGATACTCATTCTCTGGACCAGCCTTCCTCTGCTTCTCCTCCTTCACCAACCTCTTCTTCTCCTTCTTCTCCCTCCTCTCCGCCCTCCTAGCCTCCTTCGCCTCCCTCCTCTTCTTCCTCTCCTCTCTTCTCTTCGCCCTCTCCTCCTTCCTCTTCCTCTTCTCCTCCCTCCTCACCCGTCTCTCCTCCTTAGTCTCCTCCCCCTTCTTCCGCTTCTTCTTCCCATCAGCATCCTCATCATCCTCCCCAGCCTTCCTCTTCCTACTTTCCCCGTCCTCCTTCTTATCTTTATTCCCCAGCGTCCCAGGAACTGTCTCCCCCCTCACAAAATACCGATACAGCTCACTCGTCAACGCATTCGGCGTGCGCTTCGCATCCCCCGCACTCTTGTTCTCATCGCCCACGCCCTTCAGCGCGTCCTCGAAACCCCGCAACCACCATTGATTTGTGGGATCCTTGGTGGTCTTCTTCCCCACGCCTTGGTTGCCTTGGCGTCGCGCAACGAGAATCGGCCTCGTCAGGCCCAGACCGCCGTGTGTGCCGGGGCGACGGTTCGGGTTGAGGGGGTTGCCGGGGCCGGACCAGCCGTGGCGGAGGAGGTAGGCTTGGGCGTCCATTTTCTTATCTTTCCTTATTCGGTTCTGGATATGTGGAAGTAGATGGTGGGTGAGCGAGTGGTTCGGAGGCAGTAAAGTCGGTAGGTTGGTAGGTTGGTAATTTGTTGGAATGCGACAGAAACACTCAGTTCATATCGACCGACCGATCGAACGGTGAAATGCAGACGGCACACGTATGTATGTAACTTGTATGGAAAAAAGGGAAAAAAGAGCCGCTATGTAAAATACCCCCAAACACACACCCAAACAAAGAAACAAAGCGACCCAAAGAGCGCGAAGGGATAGAAAGATCAGATACGGAGTAATGTAGGTAAGAAGGGGAGATTGGAAAAAAATCTAACTACTATCTAATCCAGTCCTGCTGCAACTCCGCGATAAGATAACTAACCGGTTTGGCTTTGTGGAATAAGGACCGAAAATTTGCAAACTTTAAATCACCAGTCGCGTGGTCTAATGGTTATGATTTCTCGTTCACATCATCAGCTTGTTTGGTGAGGTTCCGAGAAGGTTCCCGGTTCGATCCCGGGCGCGACTATTTTTGTCTTTGTTTTTTTTTTTTTTTTTTTTTTTTTTTTTTTTTTTTTTTTTTTTTTTTTTTTTTTTTTTTTTTTTTTTTTTTTTTTAATCTTGGGACTAATTTTTGATCTATTGGGTTTAGGTTTGATTTTTGTGGGTTGGGCGTGTTTTATGCGCGGATATAATTGATATCTCCTACTATTTGGGATTATAAGTTTTGTCAAGGTAGTATGTTGGACTAGGTATGCTGGTCGCGCGGTCTCCTTCCTCTCTCTGACTAGTAATACAAGTAATATTATGGGGGTTATAGTATTAAATGCTATGAAGCTAGTGGCATGTGATTAGTAGACTAGCAGGGTGTGAAAGCTATAGCGATGGCGTTGTTTATATCATGGTGGTATGGATGAGAATGGGAGTGGTGTTCGGTATAGTGTGGTACTCTGGGGATATAAATATGCAGACCTGCTATACAATTTGTGTGCAACAATGACTTTCAAGCAACACGCCCGCCAGCACATCCATAGAGTTGCTACTAATTAATACTATATAGAAATAACACCCAGAACAGGCAGCCTAACTATCTGCTGGAATAGTTGCTGAATTATGGACAATTTATGCATATCAACGGTGATACTATGATTTCATCTCTAATTCATACCGCTAGTATCTTGTCTTTGTTGTAATGGCATCTCGACTAACTCCACTATAGGCTGATTATCGTGTATAGTTAGCTATGAATTGGATTAATAAGCTATATTTCTTGAATATTATCAATGAAAATAAATAACCTATAAGGAAGCCTCCACGACACGGTCTATCTACCTCCCTAGAGTAGTAAGACATGCAGAATTCCTCCCTAGAAAGGGGTGATTTCTTCAGAATGAACAGTCTCCACTTTGCCTGTCACCGTTCGCTAGTCCATCGTTCTAGGCTATAAAGGCGGCATGCACCGCCCGCCTTGCTGTATAAGACGCCGATTTAAGTACTTATGGACACGGCCATTTGGTCTCCACTCAGAGCGCAAGACCATCTCAGAGAGCGCAATGAGGACCGTGCCCCCCTAAGAATTTTTTTCAAAATGAAAATCACTCATTGTCTACTCGGAGATTCGTTGTTAATAATGCCTCATTCCCAGTTTGCCTGACCGGACGCGGGCCAATTTGTGGCTGTGGCTGGCAGTAGCTATTAGTAAACTCAATTCTCCAGCGGTATATGCCATGTGATTTTCTGTAGGTAAGTAAGTACTCCGCTACCCTTGGCTTTAGAGGGTTTAACGGTGAGCCTCACAATCGAGGCTCGTTTGTATGTCAGGCCATGCCTCGCTGATTGGACGGGAACCGTAACGGTAGAAATAGCAGCATGCCATCATGGACGGACACTTTCCGCAAGGCAAACACAGATGCAGGAAATAGGACGGGGGATGCGTTAGTTAAAAGCCCCTACATAATAGTAGGTGTGATATAGTCACCAACCCGCGGAAAAATAGCTACAAAAGACGGAGGTCTTTGTCATGCACGGGACCAGAAGTCGGCTTTTATCATAATAAACAGACCGCAACTGGTCCCAGCATCATCCCCGAAAGGAAGGTCGATTGTTGACGACCAACGGCCGACTCCGAAGGCCAAACGGGTGGGCAAATCATGGGCCAGCAGTCGTATGGGTTGATATTTCCGATGGGGAACATTGGAAACCGGGCCGGGCGTCGAAGGTGGATGATGCCACGACGACTCCATTCTGAGCCCGGAGCAAGCAGGAGGACCTTGCTTAGAAACCAGCTCCGTAGGTCTGTAGAAATGAAAGGGAGGTATAGTTCTGCAGTGAGTGTGTATCTAGATATCGGGGCTATCAACTTGCTGGTCGTGTAATTAACCCAGAACTTCGCAATCGAGTTAGAACCTCGATGGGGTAACTTTTCTGGTCGGTAATTGCTGCCTTTCATCTAGTTGGATTTAGAGAGGGGGAGCTAAAGTACTAAGCCAGCTAGTATAGTACGTGCCCCGTGATGATTCCCCAAGGGAAGGAGATAGCTGGGAAGCCACAACTCTCTCTCTTCCCACCCCCCTCTCTCAAATCGATCCTTGGTTCTAAGGTTATGTCGTTTAAGGAAAATAAATGCGAGGCTTGCAGCAATGCTGCTCTGCAGAGATTCGTGGATCTCAAGTTGGGGGTGTGATTGACTTGTCATCGAACAATGGGAAAGTGAGGTGGCCATTAAGGAAGGTACTAGTAGCGCACAGAAGCAAGCGTCAAGAATGCCTATCTTCTGAACGTACCCAGTTCTACTAGTTAGGTGCACATCTGTACCACATACAGTTAAACAAAAAGATAAAAGACATGATTTGTATGGTCCGAAGCCATCAAGTAGATAAGTTAGAAGACTAGTAGGGTTAAGAAGAACTGAGAACCAGTCGTCAGTGCGTGTGATTAATGGGGGAAAAAGAGGGGAGGGAAATTCCCAAGACTTCGGTGTATGCAGGCCGAGCAGGTGAGAACAGCCGGTTTGACCAGGCACCAAGTACAACGCATAGAAGGATGATGCATGCATCACCACCATCGACCCGAGAGTCTGAAAGCGGTGAAACGATCAACATGGGATTCCTACATTAAGGCAACTACTTTCCCGTAGGTCAAACGCCAGGCTGATTCGGGCGCCAAGCGGGCGGGTGACCATGGGATGGATTGGAGGACACATGTACGATGTATGTATGGAGTACAGGAGGGACAACTTGCATACGGAGTACATACTACATGCGTCGACCTAAGCTCGTAGTGTGCCCGGCTCACGGCGCTGACCGTCCATCCTCCTCCACCGGCCCCGTTCTTTCTCTCTGTCTGTCTCTCTTTTTTCTCTTATTTTTGCTTTTTCTTCTTTCTCCGTTGGGAGAGAGAGGCAGAGAGAGAGGGAGCCTTGGATGTTTTTATTTGATCTGATTTTACCTTTGTTCATGGTGTCGTCTCTTTTTTAATTTCGTTTTTATTTATTATTTTTTAATTCCACCTCCACACCTCCTCTCTCTTACCATAGCGCTGTCCAACCGTTCGGGATGGATCACAGGCCTCAGCTCCAACGCTGATCCAGTATGTTGTCCCGATATATTGAGTTCCATGGTGCAGCCCGTCCAGGAATAGTTGGATGTAACGTAGCCCCCTCCCAGCCAGCCTCCCACACTTTCACTAACCTTCATGTGGTGGGTATGGCAATACTGAGGAACTTCAGAGAATTCCGAGAATAATTGAGGTAGTACAGAGTAAAACCTTCTTTTTCGTTTCTGCGAGAGGCGTCGCGAAATCATGGTTTTCCTTCCCAACATGCCCCCACCTGAGAAATTATTCCTGATCACCCGCAGCGAGGTCATGATGTGATGAGTATCATGATAATCTCCGACCATGATCCTTCCTGGATTCCTGGAAAGTCTTGTAAGTATCCAAGACCGGGAGTCATCATGTCCATGCCCACAGCCACGGGCTAGTCGTCCAGGACGGAGTCCGAGTGGAACCAACGACCAGCGTGTGTGTAAAGAGTCACGCTCTCTCTCTCTCTCTCTACCAGCGAGATACAATGTATCTAGCGCTACCAGAGAGAGGGAGAGAGAGATACGGAGCGCCCTCAGAAAATTGATCCACTCCGGAGCGGCTGCACGCAATGCCGTGGTTTAGTGACCCTGAATGATGGAGGGTTGGAACGGGTTTTGGTTTGCCTGTGGTGGGCGCTGCGGGCGCTACGGGCGAGGGTTGAAAGGGAAGCACGTCCGAAGCTTCAAATCCTTCAACCAGAGTGTTGGTAACGCTGCCTGACGCTGGCGTGCCTGAAAATGCGGGCAGCGACCGCTAGGCCCACGGAGATATTGTGCGTTAGTGGCTCTCCCGAGGAAACTTTCCTTTATTCAACTAAGTGTGGGAGACGGTCCGCATCCCGCCCGGAAGTCACTTGGTCTAAATTTGATGGAGGACCCATCCATGGTTGCTGTCTTCCTCGATCCTCGCTCGTTTCAATCTCTTTGGTTCTTTACCCCCCCCTCACAAACCTCCGTTTTATAGCGTCGGGCAAACTGATCCTGCCCTAGCCTACTCTCAGCCATTAAAGTGATGGCTTCTACTTCATTAGTTTTGGCCTAAGTGTTTTTTTAATTTTTTGTTTTTCTTTTATTTTCCCCCATTTTTCTCCGTGATTTTTTCTTCCCCTTTGGTACACACTCGCGCTCACTTGTATATCCGGTTGATCCCTCATTATTGTGATCACCGTTATTTTCCCATTGCTCGTCTTGTTACTGGTAAGACGGATACATACAAGCCGCGAACCGAGGCAATGGGAACTCGTATCAGAGCCTCAGGCAGGAAGATGAATGGCTGACTCCTCTTTGGTACTGGTTGGGAGGACAGGTGCGTACTAGAAGGACGGAATATCAACGACATCTTCAACACCAATCATTTACCGCCAGCCTCGAACTGGTCCCAAGTTATCGCTTTGTGTGAGAACTGGACTTTGGCGACCCGAGATTAGGTATCCATGCTGTGTTTCTTGGCTTTTTGGAAGCGAAAGGAAAGGGAGGGAAATGCTGAGGATAGAGAAGAAGTGGTAGACTAGAGAAGGATACCGATATAAAGAAATACAATACTGCCTAAAATGGAAAAAGCAATTGGAAAAGAAAAACCGGGAAAGGGTGAAAAAAGGGGAAAAAAAAATAAAGGAAAATAAAAAAAATAAGAATAAAAAAGTTGGAATTACTAAGAAAAGGCAATGAAGGGAGACCAAAAGAGACTAGAAAAAGAAAAAAAAAAAAAATTGGGACAGACGAAGAGAAAAGAAAAATAAAAAGAAATGAGAGACAAAGAGTAAATGGGGAGACGCTAAGCTACTTACCTGCTTCGAACTCGTGGTGGATACAAGCTGTATGTATTTTATGCGTATGATATACCGACTACCTATGTATCCAGGATTATCCCCTGTGGATATAGCATGTAGTATGTAGGTCCGGGTGCACCACCTGGTAACACCTGGGAGCCACTAGCCAGACTATCTAGTTAGTGCGCTTGTGTGTGATGGTAGTAAGTTAGTTAGCTAGGTTAGCCAGTTAGTTAGTATGTACCATCCATACATGCCTAGTACATCGTGCATCCACCCTGGGATCGGTACCAGACAGCGGGCACACAGACGTTGGACGTGTCGCCCTGAGGAGGCACTGGAGCGCTATCTGGCCGTTATTTTATTCGCTAAGGGGGGTAAAACATAGTTTGGTGGATTGATTGATAGGACACGAGGGACTGTAATCGTGGCAGCAAAGGATCAATACCGGATTATTGATCCAGGATCCGGATGTCAGTTAGAAAAGACCCTCACAGCAGCGAGCGAGGTCAGGACCTTAGTGATCCGCGTAGCTGCCCAGAGGTGCTAGGGAAGCCATGTACCATGGTTGCCGGAGGGGCTCTACTTCCGGAGGGAGCCAATGAAGCTCGGAAGGCGCCAGATCGATAGCCAGGCGCATTTCCCACCATCCCCGACGCATCCTGAACCCATGTCGGTACTCGACCACATCCTGACTCGCAGCAGAGATGCCATCTACAACAAACCACTAAACTCTGGAACCTCCACGTCTCAACTGGCAGTAGTCAAAACACAAATCCAAGCCAGTCTAGCCGCCAGATCATCTCCATTCAGCTGCTTGCCCTGGTTTTTCTCTCTCTCCCAAAATCTCGGTCACTTAGTCTCTTAGTCTCTCAGTCGTCTCTTGAGTCCTTTTCCCTCTCTGCCTCTCTCACTCCCCTGCGTTTCCCACTATTCCAGCCCTTTTTCCCAGGCCCTCTAACCGCCCCGCCTTCGCGCCCGTGGGCCCAACGGGGTCAAGACAGCGGCTGCAACAACCTTAAAGGCAGGGTTGCTTTGCTTTTTGCCTTCTTTCCTCTGCCCTCTATTCCACCCCCCCTCTCTCTCCCCCCTCTCCGCTGTCCGAATGGACTTGCACTTCCGGGATCGGATTTTCCCTTTCTGATCCGATGATCCAGTCCAATTGACCTAACTCTCGATCGTCCTCCCCCGATCCATGGTTGTTCTTTAGTCGCTTCTCTCCTCGTAACGCCTGACACCTGCTGCTGTTATCGATACCCTATTTATTATTTATCATTTATTTTTTCTTTCCTATTTTCCTATGCCGCTGCCGTGACCGCTACTTTTCTCTTTTGTTCTCTTCCCCCCGACGGGTTCCTGTCCTTGCGGGGAGGAGACTTTTTTCCCCCTACCTATTTAGTAACCTCATTCCTCCTTGTGCCTCGGCCGAGATTTGGAGATACTCTTCTCCACCGTGTGTGACTGTGGGTGTGCGCGTGCACGGGTGTGCGTGCCTCTTTGCTCTCATACAACTTCCCTGGGTTGGGGCAAATTTACACCATTGTGGACTTTGGATCATTCTTACTTACTATCCTTGGCTTTTTGCTCTCCGGCTTTCCACTCTCCTCTTTCTTCCAATCCTTTTACCCCTTCTCGGCCACTGATTTATTCCGCGGAGGATACCCCCAGTTAGTAGTTTTGTTGTTGCCGTCTTTTCGTCTGATCAGCTTTTCAATCCAATCATTGGCTCAATTTGCGGCGCCGAACTTCAACTTCCTCTATGTGCCACCTGACTTACGATTCCCCGATATCACCTGCAGCCTGCATACACCCTGTTGGCTAACATTGGCGTTTTACGTTACCGTCACGAAGAACGCCGGTCTCTTTGATTGAACGAACCCCTGTATCTCTACCATACCTTGAGTAGGAAAAGTCGAATCTCTTCCCAGCGAACCGATCCTTGGAATTCAGGGTTCCATGTTTGAAATCAGCCGAGTTTTGCATCAGCCAATTACTATGGCTTCGCCGAATCGCAATAACTACAGCTACCAAGGGATAGAATCCTATGATTCCGGCCGTTCCAGGCAAAACTCGGATGCTATGGACATTCACGTCATTACGGCCCAAGAACCTCCTCGAGAACCTCCGGACAACAACGATCCTTATGATGGCCATGGGGGTCCAGATGGGACTAGCCATTATAGCAAGTACTTCTCCCTTCTCATACTCTGCACCCCACGTACCCCGCAAAATCCCTTTTTCTCATGCCGTGCAAATATCACTCTTATTTCTACAACTACCGGGCGACTAATTCAGGGAACTTTCTTTTCCGTTGTTCGTTTAATCTAGGCCTCCAAACAGATGGCTCTTCTATGAAGAAAATGGGCGAACATATCATGGATATCGCAGAGGAGTTTACCCGCTGCCATGCGATGAACAGGAACAGGACCGTCTCGATATCTTCCATAAACTGTTCACAGTAGCACGGATGTCCGAGAGCTTAATCTACGCACCTCACCCCCCAAATGGTCGATTCCTAGATCTGGGGTGCGGCACTGGGATCTGGGCCATTGATGTAGCCCACAAGTATCCCAATGCTTTCGTTGCTGGAGTAGATCTAGCACCTATACAGCCTCCCAACCACCCCGATAACTGCGAGTTCTATGCGCCTTTTGACTTTGAGGCGCCATGGACGCTTGGGGAAAATTCTTGGGATCTCATTCATCTACAGATGGGTTGCGGCAGTGTTCTGGGCTGGCAGAATCTCTACAAGCGAATCTTAAGGCATCTTCAGCCTGGGGCATGGTTTGAACAAGTGGAAATAGATTTCGAACCCCGCTGCGATGATCGCTCCCTGAATGGACTGGCACTCCGGGAGTGGTACCAGTACCTGAAGCAGGCGACACAAGATACAATGCGACCCATAGCACACAGCTCGCGGGATACCATCAGACACCTTGAGGAGGCAGGCTTTACCCAAATCGACCATCAGATGGTGGGGCTGCCTCTCAACCCTTGGCACCGTGATGAACATGAGCAAAAGGTAGCCCGTTGGTATAACCTCGCAATCTCTGAGAGTATCGAGACGCTCAGCCTCGCCCCTTTCAGTCGCGTCTTTCACTGGGATCTGGATAGGATCAGACAGATCACAGCGGAGGTCAAGTCACAAGCCTTCAACAAGGAAATCCACGCTTACAATATCTTACATATATACCAGGCACGGAAGCCGGGCGGCCCATCACTTTGAAAGTACAGAGAAATTACGGCAGTGCCGGCTGTAATGCAGATTTCATTCCGGATACCCATATACAGCCTTTTGTGGGAGGACCATCCTACCTGTTCTCTTCTTTTTTTTCATTCCATTTTTTTCTCGATGAGGATTAGTGACGACCAAATCCATCTCCTTGACGGGATCATACTGAAATGCTTATACACCAAAGCGAGCAAAGCCCACAAAACCATCACTGGACTTGAACTCGTACCAACACTGCTAGTTTGACGCAAGAATGCCAGGAACGCAGACGGGCTTATCTTCATTGTGTTATTGCATACTTTAGTGCAGACAGCTGAACGGCACAAAGGGACGCGAAGTATATTATCAATCACACCATGTGAATTGTTACCGTCGCAAAAGATACTGCTCGAGGTTATAAATAATAGAAGCACTTCAAGAAGATGAGGTGCCGTTGTCGGGACTCGAAGAAGTGACCGACGACTATAAAGTACCAGATTTGCCAGGATCCAAAAGAAGCTACCAATCTCATATTGCATTTTTGGAAAGCCCTGTAATTCAGGCCGGCTGAACTGCGGAGATCCCACAATCATGGCAGTTGACTGAGTACTTGTCGTGACGGGCCCTGAACATCAGCCATTCCATTCGAACTCAAAACTCTCTGATGACCGTGGCGGCTCTGTGGCACAGCCACCGATAATTTTTTTGTTGGCACTTATTAATGAATTAGATGAGAAAGAAGCGAAGAACCGAGGGCTTGAACAAACGCAAAGCCCTCCAAATGGTTACTATTGAACGTTTTGCTCTCCCACCGAAACTCCCACTGATCATGTACCGTAAGTATATCGAAAAATATGCCATGTCCCTTGAGACAGCCTACCAGACGCCAAGAACCCTCTAACTGACATATAACCCTATAGATGACTCGCAAAGTAAGACAGAAGCAACACGAAGGACAGTGAGAGAACGCATTTTGTTAGCCCACAGATAGTACAAATCAACGCCGCCGGCCCTTTTGACCTCGTGTGCTGCCGTTCCTACCGCCACTTACACTGTCCTTCTCCCCATCCCCATTGGCATTCGTTCGGTCACGAGCTGCGCCTGGACTACGCCTCCTCATCGTCCCGGGCCCAACAGCGATGATATCATCCTCGCTTTCACTGTCCGAAATATCAAGAAGGACAGGCATGCGGAATGAGGCAACGATATCCTCATCCGCACCGTCTTTGTTCAGTTCGATTGTGAGAACGTCGGGGACTTCGTCTTCCTGGTCTAGACGGCGCTGGTGGATTTCCTCTGCCGGGTGGATATCGAATTCATCTTCGCGCTCAACATACTCGACGTTCTCTTCAACCTCGCCGAAGTCAGGGGCTAGGGCTGACCATTTCTGGGGCGTTACGATCGACCACGTATAGATGCACCCAGATTCTAGGCCGCAGGCAACTACCATCGGGCGGCTAGGGTGCCACTCGACCACTCCTAGTTCTTCGCGCGGGCCTTCCAAAATCTTGACCAGGGAGCCGTGGCTCCGCTCCCAGACATAAATGTCAGGGTTCATGAACGTGGACGCAGTAACAAATTCCCCAGTGGAAGAAAATGCTACATGGTTCCAGCTTAAACGGTTCACCACATCTTGGAACTTATGTTCCACTTGGAGTTTGATGTTGGTAGGCTCCAGATCGATACCCAGTTGGGAGAGATCTGGCATGAGGATCGTGCGTATGACACGATCAGAGCTGTTGACTAGTAGATCCCGACCGTTACTCGCTAAGCGAAGTAAGATCACCACACCATTGCAGAGCCGAGTGGAATGTATTGTGGTACAGGTTTGTGTCTCAATAATATTGATCCAACCCTTAGATGTACCTGCTATGATATGGTTTCCTAGAGCAGTGAAGATCGTAACGCACGTGGAATGTTTCGCATCTTGAGCTGCTTGTTTTGCAGCTACGGCGGGGTCGATTTCTTCGTTCTTCGGAGGCGGAGGACGGAACGGAGCGGATGGAAGGATTCGCTTGACGGGCTTGGGTAGAGAAACATCAACGAGGACAGGCTGATCTTCGAAGAGAGACGCTACAAAGAGCAAGCTGCAGGAGCGAAGCGTCAGCAATGTGCTAGCCGCTGAGCGACAGGGGGCTGTCATACTGGTTATAAGGGTGTAGTTCTGCGATATAAACAGGTGCTTCGAAGCGGACGGTGCGGACTCGGGAGCCATCTTTCAAATCCCATAGAATACATTTCCAGTCCTGAGAAGAACTCAGAAGATAACGACCGTCTCTTGACCAACTGTAAACGGCTTGTAGTTAGCATCACTGAGTGTACGGCGGATTGCGCCAAAGGGCGTACCTTAGTGACTGAATCTGCCTGGTATGACCTCGTAGCTTTCGCGCAACCCCGTTCGTTTCCACATCAAAGATGACTACTGTTCCATCAACCTGGGACATGGTTATTGATTTGACCTCGAAGCAATGCCCGTGTATTGTGGGCAACCAACCCGTCCAGACGCAAGATAGTCTCCTTTGCGATTAAACCGTAGACAAGTCGCATGTCCACTTCCTGGTATAGGGTCAGTGATCACACCGCGAACTAACGGCAACGCGCGACATACTCAGCTTCTCCGTTAATGTGTCTGGATAATCCTGAGCGAGGACAAAGGGATCGACAAGAGACAAATTCATGGTGTTAGATTCAAACAGAATGTTTTTGGCAAGCGTCAAGTCAAAGCCAGAAAGTTAAACGATAGAAGAGGCGGTAATTCCCCAGCCTGCGAAGAAGGCCGGGAGGTTCGCTCGGGAGCAAACATCCAGTGCAGTCAATAGCCACAGAGTTAATGAACTACAGCCGGGCGGGGGATGGGAAATACCGGCTGGCATGGTGAATTGAAGCCGAAGGGGAAATAAAGCGACGAGCGGGCGGTGAAGCGGCCAAATAAATCTGTCAATTGCCTCTCCAGTGAGTAGTCAGTGACTGCATTCTGAGTGGCGGAGAGTTTACTGCCACCTCACATATGCTCCACTTCGGGTTTAGCGTTGCAGACTTTTAGAGGGCAGGGTGGTCGCGCTAGCTTGCGGCTCAGAAAACTCGTTGCCCCATCGCCGACTGACCTGACGTCCAACCGTCTCCCTTTCATCACCTCAACACGCCTCCTGTCCATCGCCCAACACCCCCGACCATCGCGCTTTGCATCGCGATATCACTTTCCGAGCTGGAGATATCGCCAAGATCGACCGTGACCCTCTTTTTTCCCGCCCTTTTCGAGCTTCGCGCAGTCGGTGGATAAGGTCGCAGGCGCCCTCGTGGCAAGGGCTGCCAGAGGCCTAGGCCGGCCAGTTTGCTCGCAAACATTTGCATCGTCGCTTCAGCCCATTTAGACTGTTGATAGATCAGTGCTTTCGACACGTCAGTTTTCGTCTTACTCGGTCTTATTTCGACTCCTTCGTCATCGCATACCCCCGGAGAACGATCAGCCGACGACACCAACCACCATCATGGCGAACGTGTACTTTCCCTACTCCAAGGCGCCTCTGCGCACCATCAAGGAGATCCAGTTTGGTTTGTTCTCACCCGAGGAGATCAAGCGGATGAGTGTGGTCCATGTTGAATATCCGGAGACGATGGTTTGTTTTTCCTGGAGTGCCGCCCACACCGACTGAACGTGGCAAAACGCTAACGCGGAAACACAACAAACAGGACAACCAACGGCAACGGCCGCGCACAAAGGGTTTGAACGATCCACGCTTGGGAACGATTGATCGGCAATGGAACTGCGAAACTTGTGAGGAAGGCCAGAAGGAGTGTCCTGGTCATTTTGGACATATTGAGCTTGCCACACCGGTTTATCATATTGGTACGTTGCTGGCCGGCTAGCCAGGGGAGATCGATCTCATGTTGCACGCCTGCTAACGTCTGCTCCAGGTTTCTTGACTAAGATCAAGAAGCTTCTTGAGACGGTCTGCCACAACTGTGGCAAGATCAAAGCCAATACGGTTAGTCATCCCTTATGGGATGGCAAATCTATCACGGCATATTTGCTGACATAGAACCAGTCCGACCCCAAGTTTCTAGAAGCCCTGCGCATGCGAGACCCCAAGAGACGATTCGACCACATCTGGCGACTGTCCAAAGACGTTCTTATCTGCGAAGCCGACCCTCCCCCGGACGATGACGAGCCTTTCTCGAAAGAGAACGCCAAACCCGTTCGGATGCACGGTGGTTGCGGTAATGCCCAGCCTCAGATTCGTAAGGAAGGTATTACTCTTGTTGGAACGTGGAAGCCGAACAAGATGATGGACGAGATGGACATGCAGCAGCCCGAAAAGAAGGTTATTACCCCGCAGGTTGCCTTGAACGTTTTTCGTAACATTTCTTACGAAGATGTTCGCATCATGGGTCTGAGCAATGATTATGCCCGTCCTGAATGGATGATTATCACCGTCTTGCCGGTTCCCCCTCCTCCTGTTCGTCCCAGTGTGCTTGTCGGCGGCAGCACCAGTGGCCAGCGTGGTGAGGATGATCTGACATATAAGCTGGCTGAAATTGTCAGAGCCAACCAGAATGTTCAACGCTGTGAGCAGGAAGGCGCCCCAGAGCACGTCGTGCGCGAGTTCGAGTCTCTCTTGCAGTACCATGTCGCCACTTATATGGACAACGATATTGCTGGTCAGCCGAAGGCTATGCAGAAGTCGAATCGCCCAGTCAAGGCTATTCGGAGCCGTTTGAAGGGTAAGGAGGGTCGTTTACGACAGAACTTGATGGGTAAGCGTGTGGATTTCTCTGCACGTACTGTCATTACTGGTGACCCCAACTTGTCTCTTGAGGAGGTCGGTGTTCCAAAGAGTATCGCGAGAACCTTGACTTATCCCGAGGTTGTCACACCCTACAACATCGAGAAGTTGCAGACACTGGTTTCGAACGGTCCGAATGAACACCCGGGTGCTCGGTATATTGTCCGAGACAACGGCGAGCGCATTGATCTTCGTCATGCCAAGAGAGCCGGTGGTCAACAGTTGTTGTACGGATGGAAGGTTGAGCGTCACATCATGGATGGCGATGTCATCCTGTTCAATCGACAGCCCTCTCTTCACAAGGAGTCCATGATGGGTCACCGTGTTCGCGTCATGCCCTATTCCACCTTCCGGTTGAATTTGTCTGTCACTACTCCTTACAACGCCGATTTCGATGGTGATGAGATGAACTTGCACGTCCCTCAGAGCGAGGAATCGCGCGCGGAGTTGAGTCAACTGGCATTGGTCCCTATGAACATCGTTTCTCCCCAGCGAAACGGCCCGCTCATGGGTATCGTGCAGGATACGCTCTGCGGTATCTACAAGATTTGCCGGCGTGATGTCTTCTTGACCAAGGATCAAGTGATGAACATCATGATGTGGGTTCCTGATTGGGATGGGGTGATTCCTCCCCCGGCAATTCTGAAGCCTAGACCTCGCTGGACAGGAAAGCAGATGATCAGTATGGCGCTCCCTTCTGGTCTTAATCTTCTGCGTGTGGATAAGGATAACTCGCCGCTTTCTGAGAAGTTCTCGCCTCTGGCTGACGGTGGTCTTCTTATCCATAACGGACAACTGATGTATGGTATGTTCTCTAAGAAGACGGTTGGTGCTAGCGGTGGTGGTGTCATCCATACTATCTTCAACGAGTATGGTCATGGTACGGCTGTTGCTTTCTTCAACGGTGCTCAGAGAATTGTCAACTACTGGCTTCTGCATAACGGTTTCAGTATTGGTATCGGTGACACTATCCCCGATGAGCTTACCATTCAGCGGATTGAGAACTGTGTGCGCAACAGGAAGAAGGAGGTCGAGTCGATTACTGCAAGTGCTACTGACAACACTCTCGAGCCTCTACCCGGTATGAACGTCCGTGAGACCTTTGAGAGTAAGGTGTCTCGTGCTCTGAACAACGCTCGTGATGAGGCTGGTAGTGAGACCGAAAAGAGTTTGAAGGATCTGAACAATGCCATTCAGATGGCGCGGTCTGGTTCAAAGGGTTCAACTATCAACATTTCCCAGATGACTGCTGTGGTCGGACAACAGTCCGTTGAAGGAAAGCGTATTCCTTTCGGATTCAAGTATCGTACCTTGCCTCACTTCACCAAGGACGATTACTCGCCCGAGTCGCGTGGATTCGTCGAGAACTCTTACCTGCGTGGCTTGACACCCACTGAGTTCTTTTTCCACGCCATGGCTGGTAGAGAAGGTTTGATTGATACCGCTGTCAAGACTGCTGAAACCGGTTACATCCAACGTAAGCTGGTCAAGGCTCTTGAAGAAGTCATGGTCAAGTATGATGGCACTGTTCGGAACTCTTTGGGTGATATCATCCAGTTCATCTACGGAGAGGATGGTCTTGATGGTGCTCACATTGAGAACCAGCGGGTGGACATCATCAAGTGCTCGGATGATAAGTTCCGTGAGCGTTTCCGCGTCGATTTGATGGATCCTGAGCGTACGCTGGGACCAGAGGTCCTCGAGCAGGCCAACGAAATCGCAGGTGACGTCGAGGTCCAGAGACATCTGGATGAAGAATGGGAGGAGCTCCTTAAGGATCGCGCGTTCCTTCGCTCGGTGGCCAAGGAAGACGAGGAGATGATGCAGCTTCCGATCAACGTGCAGCGTATTTTGGAAACCGCCAGAACTACTTTCAGGATTCGTGAGGGTACCATCAGCGATCTCCATCCCGCGGAGGTCATCCCTCAAGTGCGCTCTCTGCTGGATCGTTTGCTTGTTGTCCGCGGTAATGATATCATTTCGCGTGAAGCTCAGGAAAATGCGACATTGCTCTTCAAGGCCCAGCTCCGCAGCCGACTCGCATTCCGCAGATTGGTTACGGAGTATTCCATGAACAAGCTTGCATTCCAGCATGTCATTGGAGCCATTGAGAGCCGATTCGCCAAGGCTGGTGCCAACCCTGGTGAAATGGTTGGTGTGCTTGCTGCTCAGTCTATTGGTGAGCCTGCCACGCAGATGACACTCAACACTTTCCACTTTGCTGGTGTCTCGTCCAAGAACGTCACTTTGGGTGTTCCTCGTCTAAAGGAAATTTTGAACGTTGCTACCAACATCAAGACCCCCTCTATGACGGTCTATCAGGAAGCTGCTCGGTCATTTGACAAGGAGGGTGCCAAACAATTGCGAAGCGCTGTCGAACACACCAGCTTGCGTTCCGTTACGGAAGCTACCGAGATCTACTACGATCCCGATATTCAAACCACGGTCATCGAAAATGATCGGGATATGGTCGAGTCATACTTCATCATTCCCGAAGATGTCACGGATGATGCGTCGCGCCAGTCCAAGTGGTTGCTCCGTATTATCCTTAGTCGGCCGAAGCTTCTGGATAAGGGTCTTACCGTGCAGGATGTTGCTTCCAGGATCAAGGCGGCCTACCCGAAGGATATTGCTGTTATCTTCAGTGATAACAACGCCGATGAACAGGTTATCCGTATCCGTCAAATCCAGGACTACAAGGAGGACGAAGAGGATGATGATATTGAATACGATGTTACGCTCAAGAAGTTGGAGCAGCATCTTCTCGACACTCTTACCCTGCGTGGTGTTCCTGGCGTCGAGCGGGCGTTCATCAATGAAAAGAGCAAGGTTCGAGTTTTGGAAGATGGCTCATTGTTCGCAAGCAAGACCGACCCGCTTTGCAAGGAGTGGGTCCTCGAAACAAGCGGCTCGTCCCTGGGTGAGGTTCTGGCAATCCCCGGTGTCGATGCTACTCGCACGTACTCCAACCAGTTTATCGAGGTCTTCGAAGTTTTCGGTATTGAAGCTGCACGGACGGCTGTTCTTCGCGAGTTGACCCAGGTGCTTGCGTTCGACGGTTCGTACGTCAACCACCGCCATTTGGCGCTGCTGGTCGATGTTATGACTGTACGAGGTTACCTGACACCCGTCACTCGACACGGTATCAACCGTGCTGATAACGGTGCACTCATGCGTTGTTCGTTCGAAGAGACTGTCGAGATTCTGTTGGAAGCGGCCGCTTTCGGAGAGCTGGACGACTGCCGTGGTGTTTCTGAGAACCTTATTCTGGGCCAGATGGCCCCTGCTGGTACTGGAGAGTTCGATATTTACCTTGACCAGAACCTCATGAACACTGTCGTGTCGAATAATGCTCGCTTCGGTGTTATGGGAGCCATCGGCGCCAAGGATGCAATCATCTCCGATGGTGCTGCTACTCAATACGACACAGGCTCGCCTATGCAGGAGAGCGCTTACATTGGCACTCCCGACCCCGAATCGAACTTTTCTCCCATTCGCCAAGCTGGTGCCGAGACTCCTGGTGGCTTTACCGAATACCAGCCTACTGGCGGCTTTGGAGGCGGATTCAGTCCGGCGGCTACAAGCCCTGCAGGCTATTCCCCCAGCAGTCCGTTCAGCGCGAACCCCACGTCGCCTGGTTATTCCCCGACCTCGAGTTATTCTCCCACGTCACCGGGTATGGCTATCACCAGTCCTCGTTTCATGTCGACGTCTCCCGGGTTCTCACCCGCCAGTCCGTCATTTGCTCCGACATCACCGGCCTACTCTCCCACCTCTCCTGCGTATGGCCAGGCATCTCCTACGTCGCCATCGTACTCGCCAACTTCGCCAGGGTTCTCGCCGACGTCGCCGAACTACAGTCCTACTTCACCTAGTTTCAGCCCGGCTTCACCGGCCTTTAGCCCAACCTCGCCTAGCTACAGTCCGACAAGCCCTGCTGTTGGTGGTGTTGGCCGGCATCTGTCACCCACTTCCCCCACCTCACCTAAGTACACGCCTACTTCGCCTGGGTGGTCTCCTACGAGCCCCCAGACGTATTCTCCTACATCTCCCAACTTTGCCGGCTCGCCGACGTCACCTGGAGGACCAACATCTCCTGGCTACAGCCCGACGTCGCCGGCTTTCAGCCCTACGTAAGTCACTCTTGAGCAGCAATTGAGTGTTATTTGGTTTGCTAATCAAACATGCAGATCTCCACGCCAGTGAAATCCTAAGATGGTTGCTCTGCTTCTTTCTGACCTTCGCTGTATCATTGTACTATCACCTACCTCCCAGACGACCTCTAAGAGGAACAAAAGAAAAAAACATCTTGCATTGTATGTTGCGGAATTGGTTGGTTATCTCATGCAGAATTTGGGGCGCCTGTAGCCTTTCCCTTTCACCCATCCGTTTTTAACTGTATGTTTTTCTCTTCTTGCCTCAGCCTGCAGGTCGATCCCCTTCTATCCCGTATTAGTTTTCTTTCCTACTTTTTTTCTTCCGAGCCAGCCTGCTGAAATTGCGAACGGTTTTGTGGGTTGGTGATATTATGTGTTTTGTTTGCTTTTCTTTCCCCCTTTTTTTTGCACATTGAACTACCAAGCGTTTAGACTTGAGGGTGCTTGTGGACCATGACTCGGTTATGAGAATACGATGGTCCTCTCCGGAGATGGTGTTGTTTTCTCTGAGTTAGCATCGAGGACGAGTTATTGCGTGTATTGCTGCGATCGATAAGTATCCCTATGCGTTGTACACAGACGACTGCAGATGGGTTATGGACGAGACCGGAGGTCAATAATAATGAAAATGGTTGCCAACACATGTGCCTTGTAGTCATAAATAGTAGATGCACTTGTAGATAGTATCTTAGTGAAAGAGCCAAGAACGTCGGCGAAATGAAGCTCCGCAACGCCAGGTGGCCCGTTCCGCATCGGGGCCGAGCAAGCAACTCCCCCCGAGTCTCAAGTGCTCATCTTCACTATCAGCTCCTCTCCCCTCTCTTACTTTATCGGAAGCTCGAGCACAGAGTCGCCATGCGCCTCTCACTGTTCACTTCTATTCAACTTTCTCACACAACATGAAGAACTGGTGGCTGTGGCGTTTCCTGCCGTTGGCGCTTCGTGAGTCCTCTTACTGTGGAGCTTAGCCGCATCACGCGATAGCAACTGACCTCCAAGCATCACTTTCCAGTGCTTCTGCAGGCGCTTGCGGTTGAATACAATGGACAGCACGACACACAAAAACCCTTAACAGATGTTGTTCCTGAATCATATGCACATGCTGAGTCCTCGAGCGGGCCCGAGGGCTCTAACGTTCTACCGGGACACGGTAAGCGGCCCTGTGCATGACGCCAGCGCACCCATCCTTGCTAACAACTAGTGATTTGATGTGCCAATAGTACACGTCGAAAATGCCCTTCAAATCCTCCGAGAAAGCAAGATCCCCATTGTCGCTCACGAGAAACCGTCCGGCCTTCTGGGATACACCTGGCATTACGCCCAAGAAGCCTTCCGAATCCTATTTATGAATGGACCACAGCCGGATGGAACACACAAGCAAAAGCTCGATCCAAATGTTGCAAAGGCTGCGAATGAACTTAAGGTTGCGGCGCAAGAACACCAAAACCCCGATGCAATGTTCCTCTTAGCGGAAATGAACTTCTACGGCAACTTCACCCACCCGAGAGATTTCAAGCAGGCGTTTCATTGGTACCAATCTCTGGCGTCATCGACTGGAAATAGTACGGCGCAATATATGCTTGGGTTTATGTATGCAACGGGTGTCGGGGGTGCGGTGGAGCGCGACCAGGCTAAGGCCCTGTTATACCACACCTTTGCGGCTGAAGCGGGCAATACGAAGTCGGAAATGACCCTCGCGTATCGCTACCACGCTGGAATCGGGGCTCCTAGAGATTGCGATCAAGCGACTTACTACTATAAGAAGGTGGCTGATAAGGCTATTGAATACTTCCGATCGGGACCGCCCGGTGGCCATAACATGATCCGCGAGTCCTACCGTTGGGCGGACGAAGAGGGTGGTGTTTATGGTGAAGGCGCTAGTGTATCGACTGCCGTACGCGATGGAACGCATTCGAGCACGGAAGCCAGCTTGGAAGACGTCTTGGAGTACCTGGATTTGATGTCGAGAAAGGGGGAACTGAAGGCTACTTTCAGCTTGGGCAAGATGCATTACGAAGGGGGCCGCGGCTTGCCTCGGAATTTCCGAAAGTCGATGAATTACTTCCGACAGGTCGCCAAGCGGTATTGGAATAAAGATGGATCGGTGAACCCCAACCATCCTGTTGGTGTTGAAAAGCTCGCTTCGAAAGCAGCAGGCCATATTGGCATGATGTTCCTGCGTGGCGAGGGGGTGGAACAGAACTTTGCAACCGCTCAGACTTGGTTTAGGCGTGGACTCGCGAATGGTGATGCTCTCTGTCAGCATGAGCTAGGACTGATGTACCTGCATGGCTATGGTGTGACACCAGATGCGTTCAGAGCTGCATCGCACTTTAAGGCTGCGGCTGAGCAGGACTTCCCGGCGGCTGAAACGAGACTGGGTGCCCTGTTTCTAGACCAGGGTGATGTCCAGACCGCCACCCGTTATTTCGAACTGGCTGCGCGCTGGGGATGGATGGAGGCCTTCTACTACCTGGCAGAATTGTCCAACAATGGGGTTGGTCGGAAACGACACTGCGGGATGGCCGCGTCTTACTACAAGATGGTCGCAGAGCGGGCGGAAGTCATCCATTCATCTTTTGAGGAAGCAAATACGGCGTATGAGAACGGAGACAAGGAACGGGCTCTCATTCCGGCGCTGATGGCTGCGGAGCAGGGTTACGAGCATGCACAGTCCAATGTTGCGTTCCTGCTGGACGAGCAGCGGTCCTTATTCGCCATTGACACTATCCTCCCAGGAGCTAAGAAGAGCAGACCGGCTTTGCTGCGGAATGCAGCGCTGGCTCTTATCTATTGGACACGTTCCGCCAAACAGGCGAACATCGACTCCTTGCTCAAGATGGGCGATTACTACCTGACGGGCATGGGCATTGCTGCGGATGCGGAGAAGGCCTCGACCTGCTACCACACAGCAGCCGAAGTGCACTATAGCGCACAGGCGTACTGGAATCTGGGGTGGATGCATGAGAATGGCGTTGCGGTGGACCAAGACTTCCACATGGCCAAGCGATACTACGATCTAGCGCTGGAGACTAGCTCCGAGGCATATCTGCCCGTGAAGCTCAGTCTGCTTAAACTGCGGATGCGGGGATACTGGAACTGGCTCACGAACGGAGACATCAACCCTATCCGAGAGGAAGAAGGTAAGGAACCCCAACATTCCTTTCGCTGAGAAACCCGAACAGTCACACTTACACACTAATGCAGAAGTGAGGTCGCATCGCACCTTGAAGGAATTCATCGCCACTTTTATCCAGAACAACGAGGAAGAAGAGGCCGCCTTCCGCGCCCAGATGTACAAACAGGACGAGGAGGACGAACTCATGTCGAATAATCGCCTTGACGACCACCGCGAAGACGGCTACTATGATGAGCTGGAGCTCGATATTGATGATAGCATCCTGGAGGGATTGCTCATTCTCAGTCTTGCCGCGACGCTGCTTGTTCTCGTGTATATGAGACAGCAGCGGAATCGCCAGCGTCAGAACGACAATGGCGGCGCGAATCCGGCGGCAGGAGGCAATGCCAATAATGACCGGGGAATGTTTCCTCGGCCAGGCGAGCCGGGTTTTAATGATTGGCTTGCTGGGGCGGTAGGTCATTAATGATATAGAATTGTCCTTTTTGCAGTAATGTATATGCGTCTTATCTATCTTCAAGTATACGAATGATACCTTCCTAGTTGTTAGTTACCATCTATGGAGTGTGTAGAGAGCAGAGTATATCTATCTTATCAGCTGACTTTCCTTATCGATAAGCATCTTTACTTTCCACTTCTACTATACTACGGAATACTTCACTCTCTTCTAAGTTCATACTTTACAACATCCCCCACAATCCATTCCCATTGCATATCAAGACCTCACCCAAACATCGGATCTACCCAACCAAGAAAACACATAAACAGGATAAACACCATGACCCCCAACCAAACACCAACTCCCAACCCCAAACGCCGCCGTCTAAACACCACCATATCATCACCCTCATCCACGCTCACCAAACCATTCAAGTCGCCTCTCCGCAGACCAAGCCCAGCCACAGATACCACCACCACGAACACACCTTCTTCTTCTTCTTCTAAAGACACACAACCACAACTGCCATCCCTCTCATCACCATCAACCCCCAAACTCTCCCCTAAAGATCCCCCAAAAGGTACCCCCAAAAAGGAAGACCCCACCCTCCAATCCCTCCAAACCACGCACCGACACCTCCAATCGCAACTCCTCTCTCTCCGCACAGAACTAGAAACACTCACGCAAGCTTCTCGCATCGAGAAATCTCACCGAGATGAAGAACTAAAGAAATTGATCGTGAAGTGGAGGGGCGTGGGGCAGAGAGTTGCCGAGGAGGTGTTTGAGGGGGCGAGAGAGAGGGTTGGTCGGATGGGGGGTGTGAGGGGCTGGAGGGAGAGGGAGATGGAGAGGAGCAGGAGTGGTGGGTGGTGGGATGATAATGAGGGAAAGAATGGGGGTGGGGAGGGGGATAAAGGCGATGAGGAGAAGGTTTGTCTAATCTTTTTTTTCTATTTTGATTGTGTTGTTTGTGCGTGGTTGATGCGTTGTGGATGTGTGCTGATTTAGTTGTGATAGGAGGTAGAGGCAGAGGAAGAGGAAGAGGAATTCACGATAGGAATGATGTTGAAGACGATGGGGATTGATTTTAAGGTTATTGGGTATGATGGGGAGGGGCAGAGATGGGTGTGATTTAATTCTATTAGGAGGATGAGGTGTGGATGGAGATACTATTGATGTGCTTTACTTGCTGTATGTCTGTGTATCTCGAGGGAAGAAATCTTATTGCTAGGCGTACGATGAATTGCCAGCTACACTATCAAGAAAACAAGCATGTGATCATTCTATGCTAACGCTATACTGCAAATACTCCCTATCGTGACCGCAATTTGCAAAACTCCTATCTCATAACCCCATTTTGACCCACATATATGCTCTCAGCCTGTTTCACGCCATCCCATATCATAGATGCTCTGAAAAAAAAAAGAATCCAGAACACAAAATAAACAAAGAAAAGAAAGGAAGCTCTACCCAGACAGTCTTCCTCAACATCAGATGATGTCCATGCCATCAATATCATCACCATCAATATCCTCCATATTGTCAGCCATAGCACCGCTTAGTGCCATCTGAGAAGGCTTGGGATCCTTATTAGATCCATATCCTTCTCCAAAGGCCCCAACCATCTCCAGCTCAGGCCCGGCGATGATACGACCCTCAGTGTCGACTACCTCGCACAGCTCGATCAAACTCTGCCGGCTTAGAGACTTGAAGCCATCGGTCCGGACAACACGTCCCCAATTGGCAAGACAGAACTGAGCGGCACGACGCATCAGCCACTGTTCGTTGGTACGCCCTGCACGTTCCCAAATGATTGCGGCGTTCTCTACATCCAGTTCGCGGCTAAGGCGGTTGACACAAAGTAGACGCAACTTGGGCATGTCGTAAAGATTCGCCATGACGAGCATTCCCGCAACGTCGATGATATCGGAACAAAATTCCAGGTGGCCAGCGATGCTATCTGTATACAGATAGTAGATGAACGCACGCACAACCGAGTATGGCTCGGGAATGTGCATCCTGTTTGCATGATATTCAGCCATCTGAGCCGAATAGAGCCTCTTGAAGTGGGGCCATCGCAGCTGCAGAATGATCCGGTGCACATGAATCGGAGGCGAAGTAGGTGTGTTGGGGGAGAGGAAGGCTGGCTCTGATCGGGAAGTGGGGGTGTCCGGCTCATCGTCCGTGTCAACCTGATCATCTGGATTAGCGGTAATTATAAAGTCCGCACCGCTACCAGACTCCGGTGGTTGATCGAACGCTGCCGAAAGGTCTGCTCCCAAACCGGACAAAGATCCCATCCCTGTTGGTTCGGATAACGACGTCCGGCTTTGACTGGGCGAAAACGCGGACAACTCGTTTCCCAGTAAGCCGTATTTTTCAAGATCAATGCAAAGCACCTCGCTCATATGATTCTCATCACTAGTTCCCGGGGTAGCACCGGTGTCGAGGCTACTACCAAGAAGCCACGCTTTGGTGCCGCTAGCGTTCACGGTGCAATAATGCCATCGAAAGCCGAGTTTGAAGATTTCTTGCCCGTCAGCTAGCCGCTGCCAGCGCAAAGAGTCCAGATCCAGTGATGACAGATTGCACTCATAGGTACGCACTGTCTCGGAAGGAGTAATCAGATCCAGGAGCACTCCAAATGCATAAGCCTGGAAATGAGTGCCAGAGAACAGTGCAGGCACGTGAGGGCCAGACTTGAACCGAAGACAGGAAATGGCGCCCGGAGCGATCGGCTTCCGACGATTGCCATTGCGAATTTGAACACTCCCGGAATTCGCAGCATAGCTACTGGACCGGCCCGAGAGCTGCTGCGGGGGACTACTAAAGATAGCGTCTGGACTATAAGTAATCCTGCTGATTGGCGCTGGGGAATCCACGGTACCTTGCGAAGTCGCCGCTCCAAGAGACGGAATGCCTTTGAGATCCAGCCACCAGATATCCGTTGTACGCTCCATGTCGGGATCGAGGCCTCCAAAGATCCAGAGGCGGCCGCCCCAAACCCAGGCGATGTGGTCGAAACGAGCCGTGAATCTCCAAGAGCGAGACCAGGTCCAGGTTTTTAGGTCCAGATACGACAAATCGTCGAGAATCACATTGTTCTCTCCAGTTACTCCTCCCATGATGAAAAGCTTCTCATCGTGGATGACGGCGGCATGACGAGCCCTTCCTCGGGGAATCGGTCCATGGATTTCCGGCTGAGTCCAGGTAGAGGTCGAGATGTCCAGGATGACAACGTCAGATAGATGGTCGCGGTGTTCATTTTCTCCACCAAATACAATCAACTTATCACCTTGGTAGAGGGTAGCCGTATGACCTACGACAATCGAGAGGATAAATTAGTATGGTTTGCGTATTTCTTATCGAGAAAAGTATTCAAAAAATGCGGGGAAGCTAACCCATGCGGACACCGGGAATGTCTCCATAGTTATCGACTAGTTCCCATCGAAGAGTGTTGAGATTCAAACGCAAGACGTGGTTGTAAACTATTTCAACGAGTAGAAAGCATTAGTATCAGACATAGACGATGAACAGCATGAGAACTGAGCATATCACCTTCATCCGTGTACTGATCGAAGCCGCCGAAAGCGTAGATCTGGTCATTATTGCAATACGTCACCGAAGCATTGACCAGGCAGGCTGGCACATGGCCTTGCGCCTTGCGGATGCTCGGGCGGTAATCCGCGCTGCTACGGCGACCACCACTAAGACTAGGGGGCATGAGGAATGTGGTCGGCGGTCTCTGAGGGGTGGAGGAGGAGGAGGGATTCATCGGATTAGGAGTCCTGGACGACCCGGTCCAACGCGGTGGGTCAGCGTGGAACGGCGTAAAGGGCGACGAAGCGTTACTATTCCTGGCGGTAGTGGAGGACGATAGCCGCGCCATTAGGGTCCGACAGTAAAGACGGACCAGAGGATCAAGAAAGTAGTATAACCAAAGGACAAAGATGCTGAAAATGTAGATAAATCAGTAGTGACACTCACTTCTCTCACATACTGATGCTGATCGCAGCGACCCCACGTCTCTTCTCAGCGGCAAGAGAACAAAAAGGAAAATGAGAAAAGAAAGGGGCAAGTGCCAAGCCGATCGTCGCCGAAAAGGGAAGAGCCGCATGTCAGGTGGCGGGCTAGCCGGAAAGGGACTAGGGCAGCCGTACCTCCAGTAACCGGCGTTGCCATGGGTGAGCAGAACTATATCCTTTATTTACTCCCTTTTCCTCCTCCACCCCCGTCCCCTCCTCTTCCTCCTCTTCATCATCTTTCTTGTTCTTTGCCGTTTATCTGCTACTAATTGCATACCATATTGTGTGGGATTGGTATTCCCTGCTTGCATTCAATACTATTGTATCGCAGTTAGGTCTTCTTCGTCCTGTGTCCAAGCCAGCGTGTGACTGGGATTGGCCCTGCAAACGGATCTTGGAGGCATTTCTCTCTCGATACCCTCCCCTATCTCTCGAAAAGTAAATATATATCGGCATGGCTACACCTACAGTATCGACTCCCGTGAAGACCCACCATGGGATCTTCTCCACCAAGACGGCTGGTGGCCGCATGCCCCTTACACCTTCACCACGCACTCGCGCAGGAAGTGTGACGTCAAACCACTCTTCCCCATTCACACCTCCCTGTGGTGCTCAAGAATCAGGCAAGGAGCATGGAAAGTCCGTCTACGGTGGTAACCTCTCTTCATACTTCGCCAAGTCTGTCTCGAGGACAGCCCGCAACTACCGCGAATCCCCCAAGTCCAACATCGCCCGTGCTCGCACGCGCAAGTCTCCCAGACACCTTGAGCTGGGTGTATCAGAATGGGCCCTGACAGGTACTGGTCCATCGTCACGGACTCCTACCAAGGAGCGCCTACGAAAAGAGGTCGTGGGGAAGGAAGTGGCCAAGGAGGTGACCAGAAAAGAACCGCCGAAGAAGGAGGTAGTCAAGAAGGAGGTGTCGAGGAAAGAAGCGCCAAGAAAGGAGATCACCACTCGGACCACGAGGTCAGGAAAGACGACTGTTCGCATTCCCCACAACGCGGGTGACAGATTCATTCCGAACCGTACTGCCAGTGAGGGTCTTGTAACTGCCGGCACAGCCAAGCCAGAGGAAAGCCAACGGCCAAAGACCAGCAGCAGTGATGGATCCTCTGTCCTTGCCAATGCCGCGAGTGCCTTTGACATTGGTGGCCGCGGAACTGATGAAGACATCACCGCAGCTCTTGAAAGCCTTGGGCTCGAGGATAACGAGCCAACGACCTCATACACCAAACCAGCACCGGATGCTGTCGCGTACGAGTCATCGTTGGCAGATGCCTGTGGTGTGAATCTGAACACTCGCATCCTGGCCTTCAAGCCGCCACCCCCAGAGTCATCCAAGCCCATTGATCTGCGCGCTCAGTACAACCGCCCTCTCAAGCCTGCCAAATCCCAGTCAGCTCAGTTCCGCCGACGGGTCCAAACGGCTCCTGAGCGTGTTCTGGACGCCCCTGGACTTCTTGACGATTACTATCTCAATTTGCTGGATTGGAGCTCTGGCAACCAGGTTGCAATTGGCTTGGAGCGCAATGTTTACGTATGGTCCGCCGATTCAGGATCGGTCAGCTGCCTACTGGAGACTGCACCCGACACCTACGTGAGCAGTGTGAAGTGGAGTGGTGATGGCGCCTACGTCGGTGTCGGCCTCGGAACTGGTGAAGTCCAAATCTGGGATGTCGAGGAAGGAACCAAGCTTCGCAGTATGTTTGGCCATGACTCTCGTGTAGGTGTCATGGGCTGGTCTAAGCACACACTGTCTACCGGTGCCCGCAGTGGTCTGGTATTCAACCACGATGTTCGTATTGCACAGCACAAGGTTGCTGAGCTGGTCTCGCATACCTCTGAAGTCTGTGGTCTGGAATGGAGACCCGATGGTGCTCAGCTCGCCACCGGTGGTAACGACAATCTGGTTAACATCTGGGATGCTCGCTCTCTCAGCGCGCCCAAGTTCACCAAGACCAACCACCGCGCTGCCGTTAAGGCCCTCAGTTGGTGCCCCTGGCAGTTGAACCTGCTTGCCACTGGTGGAGGTTCCTATGACCGCCACATCCACTTCTGGAACACTACTACTGGTGCTCGCACCAACAGCATCGACACCGGCTC